AGAAGAAGAAGAAGAAGAAGAAGAAGAAGAAGAAGAAGAAGAAGAAGAAGAAGAAGAAGAAGAAGAAGAAGAAGACAGCCGCTAGATAGGTATTTTCTTGCAAAAGTATATTAACATTCTTTGTCTTAAACTGTCAAGCTAAAGCTTTAATATCTTTGATACTCACCAATGAGAACGAGCCGAGAGTTGGGAAGGGAAGGCCACTCAAATACTGTATAGAGAACATCTTGTCCTTTGCTATCCAACTGATCCATCTCATCTAATACAACCAAACTGCAAGGATGAAAAACATCAAGACTGAATACTATCTTCCCAGAGAAAAGAATATGCAAATATAACACATAAGCAGAGAATAAAACATTCAAAATTTTTAAAGAAAATATACTTTAGCTGCAGGCAGTACCTTCAATGAGTTGACTGAAATGATATAATACTTACAAGGTTCCCAACACCCCAAAGATTGAATAAAATACTTAAAAAAAAAAGCATGCAGTTTAATATGCCAGTCCATGGATTCATAAATATTCTAGGGAAAATCCATTAGCTCAGGGGCGTCAAAATCAAGCTCGTGGGCCAGATTTAGCCTGTGGGGTGTTTAAATCTGGACCGCAGGGCCAACCTGGAAAATATCTATGGACAAGTTTGCGGTGCCTCTCCCAGCCAAAACAGCCTGTTTTTGGCCACTCCTGCCTCCATCAGCACTATGACAGCTGAAAATGGGCTATGCAGGTGGCCCATTTTCAGCTTCCGCTGCTTCCATCAGCAATCTGCCATCCAAAAACAGGCTGCGCAGGGCCTCCACAGGCCTGTTACAGACCGAAATGGAGCCTCTGTGGGTCACATTCAGCTCTTCTCACTCTATTTCCCATGGCTTTACTGTACTTACTTTTCAAAGAGCTCCAGAAACGGCTGACCCACATGGCAGAGAAGTCAACATCTTTTATTTAGATGGGGAAAACTATAAGAACATGAGATGTAAGGAAAACATCTTTCTCCATCTGAATAAAAGACTGGCTTCTCTGCCATGAGGGCCTGCAGGCTTAGTTTGGGTCCAGTCTGGCCGGCGATGAGCAGCCTCCTGCTTGCTGCTGGCTAGTTCGAAGGAGCAGCTTCAGGGATTGGGGAATAGCAGCCAATTAACGAGGGGCTTGCAGTTCAGGTCCTATGAGACAAAGGAAGCAAGCTCCTTGATGATTGGCTGCTGCTGCCGCCGCCTCAATCCCTGCAGCAGGAGACTGCTGTGGCCCAGTCCAGGCCTTTTCTACTACCAGAGGCAATAAAGTCCAGGCCTTTTCTACTACCAGTAGACATGGCCCCCAAGCTGAAGTCTTTTACTCAGAAGCTGGTGAAAATGTTTAGATTTCACATTCTTATAGCTTCTTCAAAAAGTAAGTAATCCATGGGGTGGAGAGGAGTAAGTGGAATCCCGGACTCTAGCAAAGCAGGCCCAGTCTGTGGAGATCTGGCAGGCCAGGGGAAGGGGAGGGGAAGCAATTGTGGGGACCTAAAGGGAGCATGAGGTATCTCAGTGGATTGGGGGAGGGTTTGGATGGCCTGCTGCAGCACTAGCCCTGCATGCTCTTCCCCACTCTGAGATATCTCAGGTGCATTTAATTACCACATTTGATTAACAAATGCATTGAGGAAAGCGAGGAATATTCGCGTTCATTTAATGTGATTCAATCAAACGAATCCTCAGGTTACGAATGTAATTGGCAGACTCTATTACATTCGTAACTCAAGGATTACCTGTATAATGAGAGTGAAGGAAGGTCTCAGGGAAGTCGTGCCTTAGCACTTGGCCACCACAGGTGCCCCCCCCACAAGCCCCGTGCTACGCCCACCATGACCACACCCTCAGGCATGTCCCGCCTGTCCCTCCAATGTCAAACACAACACTGATGAAGTTGAGTTTGACACCTCTGCACTAGATCATAAAATACTGCTGCTTAATATCAATCAAAAAATATATTGTACTCTTTAAGATTTTATTTTGGATAAAGAAACAGCTGCCATCTAAATAAAACATGGTAATGTAAGGGCAGAGGAATTAGCTAACTACATTCACTAGGCTTTCAAGGATAACAAAATACAATATTCAATGGGAAGAAAGGTGTAGTTGCAGTAGATTATTATAAATCCATTCTTTACAGTATTGAAATGCTGTCTGGCCAACAGGTTAAATATTGGGAACCCTCTGATTCACTAGCTTTTTGCCTGAATAGTTACAGGAGACCTCAAAAGTTATCACTTGTAATTTCCTTTTTGGGGGAAAATTCAAACCAAGGTAATACCACCTGAAATAATTCAAGAATTTATTGTTTTCAAACAAAAATTGTCTGAATTAGTTCATATACAACTCAGTGGGTTTTCAGAGTCAAGACCTGATTCAATATTTAGTTTCAGCCTACTTAACAATCTGTGGTGGAAATGATTTTACATGAACATTATTAATAGTGCTTACATTTATTGAGACATAAAATCTCGGCACTGGTGGACCATTAATTTGGTCTGTTTGGAGATCAATGGCTTTGGAAGAATTTGTAAATGGGAGAATTTTCTAGCTATTCGTGCTGGCAGTTCTCCGACTGATACGTGGGTGGGAAGATGGATAGTTACCATGGCTGAACCCAAATAGCCGCCTCTGGGAACAGAACTCCACTCTTTGATTTTCCAATAAGCTTGAAGCACTTGGAAAATAATTAGATAGTGGTGCTCTTGCAGCTGGCAATGATCCTGAAAGGTCAGACTATTAGCAATGGTCAGGAATGCCTCTGCCCAGCCCCATTTTCAATTGTTGCACCATCTGGGCTTTCACTGTGATTTGTGTTTTAATTACCTCTTATTTACATCACTTAACACTGTGACCTTCATAAGTATTCAAAACTGTAGCTGGCATACAATATATTGCAGTTAAATTACTTTCAGGAGGATGTTTTTATAGCATAAAAAGTGGAGCAACAAATTTGCTCCAACAGCTTTAATAACCTACTAAATTACTGATTTCCAGTTTTTAATAAGTAAAATGTAAGGTGCAAGTTTTGGCCTACCAAAAGGAAAAGATACTTGAAGGTCTGCCTCCTCCCAACAAACACCTGCCAGTTATTTTCATTATTCATTGGGGAAAAAAGATGCAACAAAAAGCTGTCATGTCACTCCTTGACATCTCTGGGTAAAGGAAAAATGTTTTAAAGAATAGTGACTACATTTAGAAACATTCGGGTGCATCATATTTTTTTAAAGGCAGGGCAAAAACTTCTCTGTCATGAAGTGCTGAGACAAACCAACAATCTGATTAAAAACGGCAACTTATTTCTATCCCCCATCTAAAAATGTATGGTTATAGGTTATGTGAGAAAAGACGTCTTCAGTAATATGACCCATACTGTGGAAGTCTCTCCTAAGAAAGGAAATATTTTATTTCCTATAACCCCTTTCAGAATTATGATAAAGGCACTTGTTAGATTTTCCATGCTATATAATCCTAGCTATTTAATTGTATAATCTAAATTCAATTGTTTAATTTTTGCTTGTTTCTTAGCTCATGGCATATTTTAATTGATCCCTTTATTTTATGCCATCCCCAGCATTTTAATAATGAATTTCCAGAGAAGCCATTCTCTCAAACTCATAAATTGAAGATTGTATTTTCAACTGTATGGAAAACAATTATTTCTCCCAACTTGGCATTAGATTCTCTCCAAAACTATTTTAAAAGCTGGTCCTAAAAAATCTGGGTCAGTATGTTTTTCAAAATTAACTAGAACAGCATTATATATTTAAAATATAAGCAAAAATAACAGTTCCAATTTATCAGGTGCTACATCTGCTCATTTAACACTAATCAAGGGCAAGCTCCAGAATGATTTTGAGGCTTAGATATAGTTCTAAATAAATTCATAGCACACTTTCAAATCATCTGATCAAAATACATAGATTCTGTGGATTGGACAACTCTCCCAACTATCTATCAGCCTACGTATTATTATTATTATTATTAGTAGTAGTAGTAGTAGTAGTAATAATAATAATAATAATAATAATAATAATACCCATTATCAGAGATCCTAATGTATATTTCTACAATGCTCTCTCTGGATAGAATTGTTATCACTAATAATACTGTCAAATGGCTTAATCTGAGAACAAAATCCAATTTCAATGGACCAATTTATTCAGTTTATTAAACCTTGACCATATATTTAAAGGAAGGAGTTATAGGGAGAACACCATAGGAAAGATATGTAATTCTCCTGCAAAGATTGCTCTAACTCCAGAACATTTCATTCAAATTATTATCAGCCAGACAATTCCATCTCAGGTAGAAAATGCCACTCACTCACTGGAGTTTAGCAAGTTAGTTTTTTTTGTGAAGCAGACAGGGATTCTGTGATGCTCTCATATACTGTAAATTAGAGTTCCAAAACAACCAAATATGCTGTTTTTTTCATGCACAGCATAAATTCATGATTATTTCCAACGGATGACTAAATTAAAGAAACAAACTTTTCCCATAAGAAATCTACTCACGCCATCGATGCACTTTCTGATGTCAACCATTTCTCCAGCTTTCTGATGACATCACCTTTGGCCGCTTTGGCAGCTCCAGCCAGGCCCAACTGTTCGGCAATTGCTGGGAAGACAGCTTGGGAGCTCTTTAAGGCCATGCAATTTAAGACTGTGATCTGAATCCCAGTGAGTTCTGTCTATAAGGAAGATGTGAAAGTTTGATCACTACTTAGACTCTATAAGAGAGTCCAAAAGCAACCTGGAAGGCAGCTTTGAACAGTAGGAGCTCCGAGAAGAATCAAGAAGATAAACTGCTATAAAACAAAACCAACACTTTCCTTACTAATGTGGTAACAATCCAATGTGCAGAATAGACAAATATTCTCATATATGAATTTTTATTCTACTAAGCTGAGAACAGAAAAACAAAATTGTTCTTTTTATTTAAACTACAACATCCTAGATATTTTAGGAAAAGCCTCCTGTTCAAAGCCCTCCTTTGAGAAAGGAAGATGTGACAAGCCATAAAAATGCCTATATTACATGAAATAGGCAACACATATATTTTATTCCTGCTGCTCATGATCAAATCAATAAAATTTATCTGAGAGGCTCAAACAGAAAATGAATTTAAAATATTAAGATGTTCTATATAATTGAATATAATACCATTTTAATAATTCATGTTTTATATGCGTGTAAATATACAAATAATTGTATAGTATTCTACATTATGTAATTAAATATAATAGAATTTCTAGAATATAATTATTTTAGAATATTAATCAATGGAACAGCTTGCCTCCCAAAGTTGTGGGGGCTCCATTGCTGGATGTTTTGAAGAAAAGATGGACAACCATTTGCCCTGTCTTGGGAGGAGGTCGGACTGGAAGATCTCCAAGATCTCTTCCAGCCCCATGATCCCATACAACTACAGTACCAAAGCCAACAAATTGCACATGAGTTTTGCTCTTTGCATGGCTGGCAAAGTCCAGGGAGCCTTTTTTTATAGTTCCTAGACATTAGATGGGGAGGCAAAGAATAAATGATTTGTTTCCCTATTATTAACAAAAAACCAAGATCAAGGCAAGAACTGATGTTAAGATCATTTTCGTTTTATTGTCACAATAGCAAAGAATAAGATGTGCATTCTAAGATCATACCCATGGAGGAAGAGATATTAATTTTCACCATCAATCCTCCCATTTGAATGGAATGCATGTTGCAACTCTATATTAGTCTTCAACTTATAACCACAACTGAGCAAACAATGCTAAGCAAAACAGTTGTTAAATAAATTTTACCCCATTTTACGATTTTTCTTGCTAGCTAAATAAATAACTGAAATTAAGTTAATAACATGTTTGTTAAGTGAATATGGTTTTATCTTCGACTTTGCTTGTCAGAAGATCAAAAAGGCGATCACATGATGCCAGGATACTGCAACTACCATAGATGCCAATTGCCAAATGTCTGAATTTTGATCATGTGATTAAGGGAATGCTACGAATGGTCATAAAAAGCAGTCATGTTACTTTTCTCAGTGCCATTGTAACTTCAAACGATCACAAAGAATGGTGTTAAGTCAAGGACTATTTGTAGTGAAACCACACCTGTTAGTCTGAGCTGCTGAGCCTGCTTACCTACCTATCTCTCATACCGATTAAGTATCACATCTAAGTGACACTTGGCAGTTTAGAATAAAAACATAAAGAGGTATAAATGCATGCATACAACAGAGTTAAAACTGACTTAAGAACAAAGTTAAAGTGGCATATTTATGCAAATTCAAACGTTGCATTCAATCATGTTTTGTGTCAGTTAGGACTCAGAATCCACAGAATACAGGTAGACTTTGATTTATGGCTGGTCTCTTAGCGATCATTCAAAATTATGAGACCACAAAAAGAGTTATGAATGCTGAAGTGCCCCTGACATTGTTCACTCTTACAACCAACTGCAGGAATGCTGCAGCAAACTCCCCCACCCCCCAATCCCATCATGTTTCCCTAGGACTTGGTTCTCTCCCAAGCCAGCCACTCAGCCAGGTAAGGGAGCCAAAAGCCTGTCAGCAGAAGCAACCAGTGCACTGAGAGTGGTAACCTGCAAGCCAAAGCCTATTTTCAGCTACCAAGGGACTTGGTTTAGTAGCCCTATTTGCCAGAATAGCATATGGCTGCCATAAGGCTCGTGACCTCTGCAAGAAAGATGAGTTTTGCATCGCAAGAGCTGGGCTCCTCTACAAAAAAACAAAAGGTAAGCGCGTTACTGTTGGGCCCTGGAGCTGGATGAGAAGTAGGCCAAGTTCTGCAAATCCTTTGGTTGGCTAGAGGGGAAATAGACCTCAGTTTACATATTATAATAAGTAATATGATTCTGAATCCCTCCCCCACTGCTATACACTATAATTTTGTAAAATGAGAAATAGATCAACATCAAACTACTACCACAATAACATTATATGCAAAAGAGTAGGCAATAATTGTTTGCACACTGTTTCAAAGAAAGATTTCAGGAACATTTTATACCCATGGTCAAATCCAGCGGTTACCTTCAAATCCAGCAAGGCTCTGTTGAGGCAAGCAGTTTTCCCAGTGCCAGGGGCTCCAGATATATAAAGGCTTCCAGGCTTCTTTCTGCAGATGTGTTCCAGGAGAAATTGTTGCAGAATACCTGTTTCTTTTTCCCTTGCAAGCAATTGGTCTGGAACAGCTGTGTGAAGAAGACTTTTTGCCTGTTGATAACAGGTACCTGCATTAAAACAAACAGTCATCATAAAACAAAAACATGTCTTGACACAATAGATGACAGCATTGATTTCTAGAAAACTAAATTATAATAGGTAAAGTTTTGCTATTAAATTAGCTGTATATACTTTTAACTGAGTTCTTATTAACAATGAAATAGATTGCTCAATTACATAGATTCTTATCAGATTAAGCAAGCCAAATATTGCATTTTATCTGTTTGATACTGTCAATATATTATCTTGACTTTCTAACGCCGTCTGAAGATCAGTGACATAGGATTCTATAAATAAATATGATCAATGAAGAGGAGAAATTGGTGCATGCCCAGCAAATTCATTCTAACTTTTGGTGCAGGGAATTTAGGATTTGTTATGTTACATTATGATTTTGGGAAACATTTGCAACACCGAAATAAAATGGCTACCATGATGACATTGGGTAGGAGGGTGGGAATCACACAAGTTATTATTACAACATCAGAATGTATTTTTTAGAAAATGTGTTTGAAAATAACTGAGAAGGTAGGTTTATATATTAAATCTTCTGTACCTTATCAAAACACCCTTTCCATGGAGAGGTAAACCAATTTTTCCAAATAGTATTTTCATTTTTTTTTCTAGGAGTACTTTTTATAAATAGGAAGATTAATAGTAAATTGTTTTCTTCCATACATAACCCCAGTATCAATACTAATGTAAAGCTCTAAAACTCAATCCCCTCAAAACAGCTTCTCCCCTTCAAATAACCCATTTCTTCTCTTTCACACTCACAACTCTGTGCACATATATAACCACTTCGAATTCATCCATCATATGCATAACCCTTTTCCCCTTGGACAGTTGCTCCTCATTCATTTTCTATTAGTTTTAATTCGCTGGCTTCCCAGTTTCCTTCAAGCTACCCAAGAAAAAATCTTTTTATACTCTATTCCCCCTGCTGTTTTCAACTTTTCAAAGTAGTCTACCTATTTTAACATGGAAAAGTATGCTTTTTATTATTTTCACAGTAGTTTCTTTTTATTTTTGTTTGAGATAGCTGGAAAGTAGAGGACTTTCATCCTCCTTTTTTCTTTTTCTAGAGAATGCTCAGGGCCACACAGAAGTCAGAAAAATATTGGGGGAGGAAAAGCAAGATGATAGACATGTCAAAGAAAATCATTTTTCAGCCAGCCAAGGAAAAGAATATTTAACAATTCAAACAAACTTTAGAAATATCATTTTGGAAGTACCCAATGCTTTGGCAGAACATTAATGGAATGTCCCTTAAGAACACATTATTGATGACTAAGGATGGTAGACTTTATTTCAAGTCTTCTAGCAATCATATTTTAACTAAAAATCTGAAAGTTCAAATGAATTGATTCAACTATAGTTTGTGGTGCTATTTTTAACAGAAATCTAAATCTTTATGGTATTGTGTTGGTTCCTAAATAAAATCACCTTAGAATTTCATTTACTTGTTACCAAGTCATTCTTAGCCTATCCATTCTATACAATAAAAGAAATAATAATATGGCTAATATAAATATTATATTTATTTTTTTGTAAAATTTTTACATTGAATTTGTATTGATGCTTGTTTATTTTTGCTTTTGCCATATCGGGTGATTGTCTATTTTTGTTGGTTTTTGCTGTTTTTCAAAATTGTTGTTAGCTACCTCAAGTCACTTTCTTGAGATCGGCAGCTATATAAATGGAATGACTAAATAAAGAAATAAAATAATATACAGCTGCAGGGGTTTTTGTTTTGATACTGAAGTTCCCTGGAAAAGACAGATTGAAACAATAGATCCAACCATTGTTACATACCTTCTGGCTTAAACAGTTGCATTTTTACTCGCTCTTTTTTAAGAGAGTAATACTTCATAGTGGTGGGTGTTTCTTGACTCCTCTGTATAGGAGATTGAATCAAATTGCTGCACTTGGTGGGAGTCCTGGAGCCTGAATGTTCACTGAAGAATAAAGTCCGGGCCCTGGGGGAGGTTGCTGGAAGGCTGTTTTCTTTTTTACTCTGCTTAGTTGGGGTACAAAGTAACAAGGGGGCAACATTGCAAAGATTGTCATCACCTAGAGTAAACAAAGAGAAAGTGTAGAAAATAAATATAAAAATGTAGGGGAAATTCAGACAGAGACTTCTTTAAAAAGTTGTCCTTTTATTCCAAGTCTCATTTTGAGGCACTCAATGTTATCTTTTAAAAATAGGCTATGGGTGGAGCTCCGAGGAAACCTGTTGTGAACTTTTTAATGATTCACTTTTATTAATTCACTAGTTGGTCATCTCTTGCAATAGTGAAGTTCAAAACACTTGGATTTGTAATTTTTTAAAAAACTGAAACTCAGTACTCTGTAAATAAGTCTATTTATAGAAATGTTATTAGAACTAATTTTAGTATTGTCCAAGATTTATTAATTTATTTTGCATAAATTAGTTCTCTAATTTTTAGTTGGGTGACAAAGCTAGCTAGCAGAGCAAGCCATTCTGTTATAATCTTTAGGATATTGGACTAGGACAGGGGAAATGCAGGTTCAACTTAATCCTCAATCACAAAAATTCACTGAGTAGTATCCTCCTCTCCGTCTAGCCTATGTAGCAGGGTTATTATGGTAGAGGAAGATGGAGGTGGGAGCTATGCATACAGTCTTAAGCTCCAAAAGGAAAAATGGAACATAAATCTAACAAATCTTAATAGTTGTAAACATTAATGAAAGGATATTTTGCACTCTTATTTGGTATATACCTAATACAAGACCTAATACTTCCCACAATAATAACTGTGTCATAGCCTGTGCTTTAACAGAATTAGAATGCCAAAGAATTGAATAGGCAAGTTTAATTCAGCACACAATTTGTCTAATCTCACCATTCAACTTGACCAAATCATAGTATTTTTTTTAATAGTCAACCATGGGTATTTTGGGTTCGTATATTTTGGAAATTTTCTATTTATAAGCAATTATAGGTAGTCCTCGATTTACAAACACAATTGAGCTCAGAAATTATGCTGCTAAGTGAGAAATTTGTTAACTTTGTCCCATTTTATGACTTTTCTTGTCACATTTGTTAAGTGAATCACTGCAACTATTAAGTTAGTAACATCGTTATTAAGTGAATTTGGTTTCCCCATTGAATTTGCTTGTCAGAAGATTGCAAAAGTGGATCACATGACCCTGCGGCACTGTAATCATCATAAATATGAACCAGCTGTCAAGCATCCAAACATAAATCACGTGACCGTAGGGATGTTGCAACAGTCGTAAGTGTGAAAAATGGTTATATATAGTTACTTTTTTCACCGCCAGTCTCTAAATGAATTGTTGTAAATTGAGGACTACCTGTACTTTGTCAACCCTTTCTATTACTTTTATTTTAAAGAAAATGATCTATACATGCTGATATTCAATATTATGCTAGGATATTTTGGGAGGTATAAGGAAAGGCAGCTTACCTAGGCGTTTGCGGGGACTGAGAGGCAAGACCTGCTTTGGAGAAGATGCCAAAGAGACTGACAATGTTGCTGAATCTAGATGGGAACCCTTCTTTTTCTCTAATGATTTCTGAAGTGTCCTGACTGATTTTCGCTTTGGAAAGTTTATAGTCTTCTGGATCTGGGACTGAGACCTCGTACTAGGCATAATGGATGTACTAGAACGAAACAGAGGAGGAAAAAAAGTATTCAAACTAAGCAAAATGTTCTCTAGAAATCTCTAATACACTACAAATAGTTCAATTGGCATCATTTTTTGTATGAAGATGAAAACCTTTTTATTTTCCCACGTTATGCCTATATTTTATTCAAACTGTATTATTTTAGTATTTTACAGTAAATCCAGACAGCCTTGGCTGTTGAGTTTTAAAATTCGTGCTCTCGGGATTACAACCCCACTTCTTCCTTTCTATAGCCAACATGGCCTTTGCCTCGGATGTTGCAACAACGTGCCCTGAGGACATTAAGCTAAGTAAGTCTGGCTTAATTTTTCATGGAGGGGGTTGTATGAGGGCAACCAGCCTATGCTTCCTATTTTTATATACATACATACACACACACACGATCGCCCTCCCCGAATCACTGCCACTTAGACGGAACGGAAGCGCAGACCTGCCATGCGTTTATCGGCTTCAATGGCGGGTGTTCCTCAGCGCGGCCTTTTCCAACCTATGCCCTCCCCTTTCTACCCCAACTTCCATCTTTTCTAACTTAATTAACGTCTCCCGCCCCCCACCCCCGGCCCGTACATCGGACGGGGAGAGGCGGCCAGCATGTTCAGGTTTCAAATCCTGCGACGGAAAGCTGATTCTTTCCCGCACACAGAAATTTCCCCTCGTCAATCTCCATATACCGCCCTTTTCCCGACTAAGCCCGAGACCCAGCACCCATCATAACCGAATCCTTTGGAAAAGCTTGTCGAGTTAGGACAGCGGGACTCACTCGTCGCTCACTCACCTCTTTTCTCCCCGGGACTGACTGGTAGAATTTCTCCGCGCGCGCTCTAGGCGTTCGGTCCTGCCGATTGGTAAGTCCGAACGGTGTCGCTCCCTGCCAACCAATCGCCACTCTTCGCGCCGAACGCAATTTCCATTGGCCCTGCCCCTTCTACGCCGCTCCCCGCTACTCAACTTGTCTCCCCTCCTTTCAGATTAAAGTAATAATAGGACAGGAAGGATTCCCAGTTAAGACAGCAGAAGTACGCATCCTTTTACTGAATGCAAAACTGCCACTTAGCAAACAGAACTACAATTCCCATCTAACCTTGCTGCAAAATAAAAGGGAAGCAGCTGATAAGCAGTCTAAAAAGAGCGCGCTTAGCGGGTTTTTTTTTCTTCTAGCGGGAAGGAAAACGCTCGTACAAGCCACGGGAGCTAAATTTTTGCGGGTTGTGAATCCTGTAAATTGCAGTGCAAACGTCTGGAAGGCTGCGAAAATTATTGAATGTTTCCACTTATAAGTAAAAAATGGAAGTTGTAGCAGAGCAGAGATATTGCTCCCTAGATGTTTAGAACTACGATTTCCGTATAATATGCGAGCAAACTGGCTAATTTATGGCAGCCGTAGTCAAAGCATCTGAACTAAATTGGTGAGAGAGAGAGATTCAGCACCATTATAAATTAGAATGGTCACTGAACCAAGCAGTAGTTAATTGAGGGCTATCCATACAATAAAGGAAGTTATCACTTCCTTTCCTACAACCATTTTTTTCTTCAAAGAGCAGTCCTATGGCCTACCTGCATTTGACAATACAATAAGAAAAATAAATGAAAATAAAATATAACAAATTGTACTGTAGAATAGGTTACATTAGAAATTGCTCGATGCAAAGAATTCTTAGTTTGCTCTTTGTTTCCTCAAAAGTTTCCAAAGACAGGTTGTGGAATTTCTTGTGAAATCTCAAATAGCACTGAGCCAATATAATGAAATATAAATAAAAAATATTTGACATATTCAATGTGGTATGTGCTTAAAAAGAACAAATTTCAGAAACAGTATTTGCATTTGATTAATTTATTAGATCATGGACACAGACTCACTTCTGCATCAGTCAATGCAGCTACAATTTTAATAAAAGACAGCACCACTTCCTGTGGTTCAGATACAGTGTCTTGTGAAGTAGTGAAATATTAAAAGAGGAGGCGTTATCAAACATAGCCACTAGGGAATAAAAGTAATATACTTTTCTCCTCCCCTGAAACCAGCCTTTCAACATATGCTATCTTCACAGGCTATTCTCATCTCAACTGTAGGGAATATTGTTGAACTGCATGTTAAAACTAAGATGCTGATTAACGGTACATATTGATGAGGAAGGGGGAATGATCTTCCCATTCAGAGCTATGTAATTGTATTGTACTGGGAGCATTATGCATTCTCCTGAATGAGCAATGACTTCTACCTTTGTGAGGAAATTGTATAGCCATCCCTCCTGTTGATTGATACAGTAATTATTGTCCCCTGCAAATGAAAAAGAAAACTGAGAAGCAATAGTTCTTGAAAGATCCCGCAAAGAAAGAGCAATTTTTAAAAAGGATTGTTTATATTTTTAAAAAATGTAGGAAAATTATCTCAATTTTGGGCAATCTGAAGATATGTGGATTCCAATTCCCAGCCAGCTGGCCAGCATTCTAAGAGTTGAAATCCACATATCTTTGCCAAGGTTGAGAAACACTGATCTACAGTATGCTTATCATATGTCAACCGTATTTGAAATTTAGGTGAACATGAAGTATTTGACTGTTCAAAGTGAAAATTATCAAAATGATTTAAAAATGAAACTCCTCCTAATGCCACATCAAGAGAATTCTCAATTATTTAATCAGGGCAATAAAATTATGAAAGAATATTACATGCAAGTTCCAATAAGAATTTAAAAAAACCAAGTCCACATGTGCCCTTAAAATGGACTCAATAATTATTTCACTGCCAACATCCTAAAGAAATTTACTTGAAATGCGTGCAAAGAAAAAAACTCCCAAAGGTCTTCTGTGAAAAGCAAAGGTCAGATCTAAATCAAAAGCAGCAGTGCAATAGACCCAAATTCTGGTTCTTGGAACTACAGGAATTACTCAGTAGTGTTTCTGCAGTAAATAGAAATGGAACTGCTGAGCAAAGATAGTGAGAGAAGACAGAGTGTGCATGAAGCTTACAATATCCAATTTTGTGTGTGCGCACAGACACAAAACTCCATTGGGAGCCATTTAAGGATAAGGCACCATGAATGAAGTTTGAAGCATTTGCTGTTAAACATAAAAATTACACCCCTTATAAAAGCCTTTTCCTTGGCATATTTGCACAGTTGCAGAGAAGGATTTATATATTTCAACATGGAGAAGGGCTGCGTAAAATCTAATTATGGGGAGTGTTAAAAAGCTACAAAAGCCTTCTCCTAAACCATCAAAAATAGGAGAAAACCCCAAATTCTTAAAACTTATGTTCACAGCATCTGAAACTTAAGTTACCAGTTACAGGATAGCATGACACATAGTTCTTTGCAATGGTTCCTGTTTTTGTACTGGTAGATGTGATTAGCCTTCACTGGTAGATGTGATTAGCCTTTACAGCCTTTACTATGTATCTCTTGTACATATAAAGATTTTTGAATCTTCACTGTGTGGGCGTATTTGTTGATATACAATATAAAACTGTAGAATTGCTGCAAGAAATCAGATAGATAAAACTTTTAAAAATTCTTGGGTCAGCTAAAGAAACTAGATATTACAGAATTGATATTTTGATCATTTCAGACTTTGAGAAAAGGTCTGATACACTGTGAAGAATAAAAGAATATACTTTGTCCTGTACCATCCTTAAAAACAGAGGTAGGAAAAGAGTAAAATATATACTAATATTCTACTTTAAGTTGCACTGAAACAATAGCAGGTAAGAAAGAATACTGGGATGAAGACTCAGGCTACAAATATAGTTTTTCAGGTACTAATAGAAGATTTTCTGAGCAAATAAGTTCAAAGTTGATCTAAGGCAGTCTTCCCTAAGATGGATCTCACAGATGACAGACTACAATTGCCATCAATTTTAACTAACTTTTAACTAACATTAACGTTGGCTAGTATTATTGGATGTTGCAGGCATCACAGATTTGGGGGGGCACTAGACTGGTGAAATTGATTTATAAGATAATTAAGATTTTACCTTGATAATGCTAACTGCAAATATATGGTTTCTCTGGATGTTTTCAGAATGCGTATGAAAATGCGTTTAAAATCACCTTGTACAAACTCTTGTTTTAGCAAGGAAACGCAAATACATCTTGCCCACTCACATAATTAAACCACCAAATAGCTTGGCTCAGGAAGAGTTATGGGCAAGAGGTAACAAGAACGTGCAAATTCTTTGGACAAGAACATGCAAATATGACCCTATGCTTCTTGTATTCAGTTTCCATTTGACTGCCATTTCAAGCTTCACAGTGCTTCCCAAAGATATACTTATTGGAAGCTGACATTATACAGAACATAATAATAATTAAAAAAAAAACCCTTTCCCAAAATGCACAGTGCATTTAACTTTTCTTCCCAGCAAGTTATGCTGGATAAGATTTAATTTTCTTCCAGAAGAAAAAAAAATTCCTCTGACCAAGCATTAGTCCCTCAACATGAGAGGCTGCCCAGTCATTAACTTAAAAGCAGACAAATTTCCATCATCATAAAAAAAAAGTAGGTGGTAAAGGAATTTTTGTAGTATATGGCTAGCAAGCCTACAAACTTTTTACAACATAAAAAGTAGATCAATATTTATCATTATAACACAAATTTTCCAATGCCACATTTTTAAGAGTAAATACACACAATAGTTATAATAAATCTTGTACCAATCACATAACAGAACTACTGTATAAGGCAAAACACCAACAAGCAATCTAGGCTTGATGTTACAACCACCTGCAGAGCATGAGATAAAATGAGAGGAAAAGTTTGCTTCTGCTTCAGAGTCTGCTTAGTGGTGTCTAGTCCAGAATTGGGCAATTCTACTGTTGGAATTTGCTTTCCAACAGATTTATATGGAGAGAGGGAAAAGGAGAGATGGATCCCCATAGGGGACTCTTCAGCAGTATAAACTACTGTGTTGAGAAGCAGATATTCAATCCATACTTGGCCTTTTTCTGATACTGGAAAACACCAAATGTAAATACCTTCTTTGATCTCAGAGACAAGGCCAGCACTATTAAATTTCTTATGACACCACTAAGAGACCTAGCTAGAATTAGTGGCACCGTTGCAAAAGACTTAACAAGCATCCTAAAAGTCACAAATATAACTGACACCCGTCCACCTTATAAAAATGTCTGTGCAAGAACTACAGAAAAAAATGTCAATTGTGTACAACCAGCAAAAATAAAATATGAAGGATTTCATCAGTTTCTGTCGCTTTCAAAGTTGTTTCATTGAAGTAGGTGCTAACCACTAAAGATCAGCTTTGAGCTAGAACAAAATATCATTTAAACAAAGTATCGTTTAAAAACTGTAACTGGAAGTCTGCCATCAAAGGTATGTTCCTCATTACTAGACTGGAATGTATGCCAATGGGACCTTCAGTCAGTCAGTGACACTCTTCTTGGGATATGGTAGCCAGGGCCCATCCACTTCTCAGCAAAAAAATAGAATACTTCTCACTCTTTTGCCATCCCTCACCAATAGATGGTTACATTTTCAAGACTGATTATGTCTGAAAGATATTCATAGCATAAGACAATGAAGCTGGGCATTTCTGTTAAGGAGAGCAAGGATCTTCTGAAGACATAGGACATTCAAGCATTAGAAATAAGTTGGAACATAATATATATTTTGTTCTATACTGGTGTAGCATCTTCAGTGTATTATCTATGGCCAACATTGTATTGCGACATTAATCCACTAGTTTGCCTATAAACAAGTTTTTCATCCGCAGTGCTTGTCAGGACATTGTTCTTTTTACTTTCAGGGGATACTACTTCCTCAATATCAGTCATGCCTTTTTTTTTAATACAACACAGGTATCAGTGATGGCTATTAGACTTTACAATCTGTTCATCTCTACAATATTTTTTATTCTGTAGAATCCCATTTTGAGAAGCTTCATTTTAGATGCCAGCTATCTTTTGGAGAAACTGACAATCAAAGATTATGGGTCCAGATCTGCAGGACAAGAACTCTGCCAAAACATAGCACGGTAACTGCTATACTTGCCTTTTGTTGGTGCACTTCTACAGATACTGCTATTCTAATGCAGCTTTGTCAATTTTTTAAACCGTCTTTTAAGACATGCCATTTAGTTAATCTTTCTCTTCCTGCTTTAAGTTACAAAGTTTAATAATTGAGTATGTAGTGCCTGCAATGAAAAATGAAGCAGCCATTTCAATTCTTTTCATAACACAATCCTTTAAAAAAATGAATGTTCCCTAATTTATACAATTTGTGGCCATTTTCTTCCTTATGATAAGCAAGCATCTTTAAATAACTGTTTCAATTTGGCCCACAGTTTTGTTGTTCTGTTGGTTTTCTTTCCTGGGAAACATTCACTCTTCCCTTGTTCTTGAACTGTAGTGTTTATGAACTGAGGGTTTCCCTCCCTTCATGGCAAAGATAGCAGGAAAGGTAGGAAATTAGTATTGATCTGCAGGAGTATTCTCACCTGGCTATGCCCATAGATGCCTTTTTATATCAGGGAATGAAATGCATAGACAATGTTGAGTAATGATAGTTCGCCCAGGTTCTTGCAATTAAAAAAAGCAGGAATGTATTTTTCATGCAGATTTCTGAGGAATGCTTGTTTGGAGGCGGGGAGAGAATTTAAGAACAAGTCTTATTTGTTTTGGTGCTAAGCAAAATTGCTCATTTGCTGTTTTTCACCTAGGGACAGGAGGCAGAGGAGGGGCCCCACGAGTAGCTGAAAAGATAAGACAGGTTGTTAATACATGGGTATTATGCATCCAGTTGCTTCCTTCTACAGGAACCATGACCCCCAAATAAAAAAGACCACAAAGTTTTTACATGGATGTTATCATCCTATTAAAGCTTTTCTCTCTCTCTGTGTATGTGTGTGTGTGTATATGTATGTGTGTGTGTATGTATGTATGTATGTGTGTGTGTGTGTGTGTGTATATATGTGTGTGTGTGTGTGTGTGTGTGTATGTGTGTATATATATATATATATATATATATGTCTATATATGTTACCAAAGTATTTATTGTCATTTTAAAAAAAAATTAAATACCTGCCTTAGTTAACATATCTTCCTACAAATTTTTCATTATGTAAAAACATGAGATCCTTTGTCATTCTTATTGCCTAACTGCTTTAGATACCTCTGTATCCATCTAGGTTTTTTAATATCTTTCTTTCTTCTTTTGTGAAAAGACAGTTCTGTAATTTCTAAACTTACTTTCTCAATTATTCTTTTATGGTATCTCTAGGTTAAAAGAAATACTGAATAGTTATACTTCTCTCAAAAATTTTAAAAATTCCATTGCATTCTCATGAGTTTACTGTGATGCCACTGCACTTCGAGAACTAAGGGTGTAACATATATAAGGCTGCACAATTGGCATAATTTGGAACAATCAAGGAACAATCACCAATAAGAATTGGGAGTGGGAATTGCATCACTAAGTGACATGGCCATAAGGGGCAATGTCACCTGACTGTGCCAACTTGTGATGTCTATTCCAGCAGTTCCCAATTGGCATTGTTAAGCAACTCCCACATGATCACCATTTGTGACCTTTTGAGAGTTTCCCATGATTTTGCTTAAAAGACAGCAGTGAAGGTCAAAAATGGTGAAAGTGTGATAGTGGAAGGCTGCAGCAGCCAGAAATACAAGAACCTCATTCAATGCCATCCTAACTTCAACTAGCCACTGAATGAGTGGACTATCTGTATAAGTAAATTACTGATGAATACAATTTGACTCATACTGTTGGTGGCATTTTTGCCCCATGGATTGTCCTTAAATCGCCTATTAAGCCTGCCATTTTGCAAACTCTGAGTGCAATGTTGTGATGTACTATTTCACAGTTTAGTACTTACCTCTATTAGTTTTGCTGGGATAAATTCTCTGGAAATATTTGAATTCTTCTGGAGCTGGGAAATCTTCAACTGGATGAAAAGAGTATTTGGATTCAAAGTCATCTGCAGAAGATTAAAAAACAAAAAAAATGGTGGGTTTTGGTAGATAAAACTGAAGGTCACTCCTGCCTGGTCCTGCTGCTTTTATCATTAAGGTTTTGTGAGAATTTTGTGCAAGGTGAAAATGGACAACTAAATATCATAAGATAATTAGACCTCATAGATAGAAGATTTGGGCCACAATTCAGCAAGATGTCATCTGGCACCTAAAGTAAAGAAACTACTGAAACTTGGAAATGTAAATCAGTAATTAGAAAGTTCATAAAATATGCATCACGCTCATTGCGTTTCCAGACAGCTTTTGATCAGAATATCAAAACCAACATAAAATATATAAAATGAACTGGTTGTATATGTATCCCACACAATATTAGATTACAGATACTCAACTTTTTAAAACCACTTTATATTTCTTGCAGGTACAATATGATTAACTTTTGTATTCTGCAGGTTCACTGAACTAACAGATTAATTTCAAGTATCAAATATATATAATTTGATACAAATATTTAAGGCAAAAATATTACATTTTATAGATGGCTTCTTACATTGAGCAGAATTTGATTTTACCACTACTAAAGAAAAAAAATTCCTGACTAATCTAAATATTTTTATAGTCTTCAGAATTAAACAAAAAAGATTAGTAACAGCTATTCCCTTTCTGATAGTCTAGAATCTTGAATATTTCCCTATTCATTATCAAGGAAACCTATCAAGGCAGCAGTAAGCCTGATAAATAAATCTTTTTACTCACCCAAATAAGATCTCACGGTAGAGATAGAGTCCCGATGTCCATTTCTCATTGGTGGGGGAGGAGGGGGTGGTCCAACTGGTGTTCTGGTAGGAGGAGGGGGTGGTTTTCCACGGTTCATGGGATCTGAAGACCCATGTATTCTGTAGGGTGGAGGTGGTGGAGGTGCATCTCTTCCACCATTTCGTATCAGGGGTGGTGGTGGAGGAGGAGCTAAATAGAAATTCTCCAGGTCAGCATAGACATGGACTAAACTGCAAAATTATAGTTATTTTAGCCATATTTATTGAGTAAGCTACCAAAGGCAGATACAAACACTTAAGATATACTCTGTGGTTCATAAACACTAATTGAGTTTACCACTAAAATTGAACAAGCCACATCATGGCTTAATGAGATACACAAACTACTGTACCTAAATATAATAGATATAGCCCAATTCTGAAAATACACTTTTGGTAGCCAAACTAAACTAGCAATTCATTTTCCATTTATATTTTACATCATTCACCCTGCACATCATTAAAAAGCTCTGCCTTGCTCTGTATATGCTATAGAAGTTTGCATCCACAATACTGGGGCAAGTCATACATTTTAATCCTGAGACAATAAGTTTACAGATTTGGTGAGTGCTATGAGTAGGAGATATAGCATTTTTAGAAATAAATAAGAGAAATGCAAAGTATGAATATATCAACCAAACATCCTGGAATCTGCTGATTACCCTTTACAATCACCAAACATTTATGTAATTTATTTCTAAAACATTTTCAACTGCACATTTCTGAAATCTCTCATTTCAGGAATGAAGCATGATTAGGACACAAAACTAGTTAATCACATGAACCATTCTATTTTAAACTAAAATTTGCACCATGTCAAGAAACATCCAATGTCTGACACTAAATGGCTCAGATTGTTTCTAAACTAGTCACATAACTTTGGGAATATTTCAGTAATACTCCTAATACTCCTGCTGGATCTAAGCTTTTTCAAAATTAAAAGTTGTTTCTGTTTTAAAGTAATTAGACTGATGACCTGCCTCATATTAGATTCCCTATTTTGGGAGACTTGCAATAAACACTATACCCACAACATGAAATATCCAATCCTAGTTCAAAGAGACTTGGTGAAAAAACTGCCCTCTTACCTTCCTGAAGTGTAAGGAAAGCAGCATCCTTCAGGGATAAACCCTATACTCAATCATTTATATTTTCCAGTTAAAGTATCAAATAAGAACTTATGAAATTACTATCTATCAATCTACCTACCTACCTACCTACCTGCCTACCTATATATGTGGTGGTGGGACTCATCTCTGGGGGGGATGAGTCTGCCTACCGAGATGAGGTGGACCGGTTGCTTTCATGGTGTGGAGACAATAACTTGGTCCTCAACACCAATAAGACCAAGGAGTTTATCGTGGACTATAGAAGGAACAGATCAGACCTCCAGCCCTTGCTTATCAACGGAGACCGAGTGGAGCAAGTGGCCAGTTTTAAGTTTCTAGGTGTTACCATAAAAAGTGGACCTGATCTGGGGTGCCCTCATTGCAGCACTGGTCAAAAGGGCCCAACAGAGATTATACTACCTGAGACTTCTTAGAAAGCAACAACTGAATGAAAAAATTGCTGGTGACCTTCTACCACTGCACCATAGGGAGCATTTTAACATACTGCACCTCTGTATGGTTTGCCAATTGTACAGTGGCAGATAGGAAAGCAAGCACCCCAGAGGGTTAACATCATTGTCCAGAACGTCATTGGTTGCCTTCTCCCCTCTTTGGAAGAGCTTTATAGCTCCCGCTGCCTTAAGAAAGTTCAAAACATTCTCAAAGATCCATCTCATCCTGGGAACCCTTTTTTTGAACTATTACCATCTGGCAGATGGTACATAATAATAAAAACAAGGACAAATAGGCTGAAAAACAGCTTCTATCCCAAGGCAGTAGCTCTTTTGAATTTTGCTGTATAATGCAATGTTGGTGTGGTGTCGGGGTTTTTCGGTTCAATGTGTAGAGGGTGAAGGATGTGTGTTTGGGTTTATTTTCATGGACATGGTCATGATGTGTACTGAAGATGATGTTTGATTTCATTGTACAAGGTACAATGACAATAAAGTAAAGTAAACTATCTACCTATCATCTATCTTATCTTACAGTCCCCTCACATTCTAGACGTAAACTGTTTCAACTCCCACCCTCAAAATTATGCTTTAGAGTAGTGCACACCAGAAAAACTAGACACAAGGACGTTTTCCCCCGAACGCCATCACTCTGCTAAGCAAATAATTCCCTCAACACTGTCAAACTGTTTACTAAGTCTGCATTACTATTACTGTTAATCTTCTCATCACTCCTTATCACCCATCCCCTCCCACTTGTGACTGATTGACCGTAACAATTTTTATTGACTGTTCCCTAATATGATTTGATTGCTTATTGTATCATATGGGTGTTATTAAGCGTTGTACCTTATGATTGACTCTTGACGAATGTATCTTTTCTTTTATGTACACTGAGAGCATATGCACCAAGACAAATTCCTTGTGTGTCCAATCACACTTGGCCAATAAAGAATTCAGTTCAGTTCAGTTCAGTTCAGTTCAGTTCAGTTCAGTTCAGTTCAGTTCAGTTCAGTTCTGTTCTGTTCTGTTCTGTTCTGTTCTATTCTATTCTATTCTATTCTATTCATCCTTTGTGGTTGGACAAAGAATTTCCTAACTCATGGCCCACACTGACGCCATCAAATTTTAGCACTACAAATAGGATTTTTTTCATATCAAATAATTTTTTTTGAGATGAGCTAGAATCCAAATTCCTAAATGTGCCATTAAATTTTATATATATTTAAATGTCCAAAGTCATTTGCAGATATTTTATGGTTATAATCCTTATTCCATACCATAAACATTATTATTCTGCTATAGGGAACTTCTTTGCAAATGGACATGTCTATGAAACCAGGGCAATTAGCATATTTTGTAAATCTATCTCTATATAACCAACTTAGAAGATATACAGTAGCTTTGAAACATTTTTGATTGCTTACACTTCTGTTTTCAGACAGTAAATGTTGACTCTTATCAATTCCACAACCTACTTTTATATTGAACAGGGCTCTAAAAATTTCTTACCTGCACCTCGGCTTGGTGGATCACGGGCAGGAGGTGGGGGCCGACTATTTTGTAAGGAAGGAGATGCTGAAGGAGGAGGGGGAGGTGCCATACCCCTCCCTGGACCAGGTGCCTTTCTATGTAAGGAATTATGTCTCTGGGGAAGCTCAGGAGCAGATTCATTAATAGGGCTGGCAGGGCCATTAGGGACACCAGGAGGCTGTCGGTAAGGTGGGGGAGGGGGTACCAAGGATTGGCTCTGACTGCTTGGACCTGACCGGATATTTACTGGGGATGGGGGTGGCTTGATGGGAGGAGGAGCTGGAGGTCCATCACGATTTCCCGGAAGCCTTTGACCTGGAGTTGGTGGCAATGGCTTCTCACGGTTGTAGGAAGGTGCTTTGCTATTATGCATAGAATGTGGAGCAAGTGGAGCATTGGCTCGCCGTCCAGGAGGTGGCGGTGGGGGGGCTGAAGAGCTGTGCTTCATACCAGTGCCACTGGCACTGTTTGGCCGTGAAAGATCTGGCAATGAAGGTCTCTGCATGCGTGGAAGCTCTGGAGGAGAAGCTCGGCTATTTTCAGTGTCATCTTGGGGTCGGGTGCTGGTAGCACACACAGGAGGCCGGGGTGCAGCTGATCTACCCCCAGGACCCTGATGTAGTACCTTCCCAGAGGAGTTGTCTGGAAAAAAAATAATATATAAAAGCGTACACAGATAGCTCTGCTGTGAAAAATTTACTTTATTTCTTAAACGGGTAAAGCTCATAGGTAAAAATGACCGTTCAATTTGATAAAATATACAGATATGTTTGAAAAGAGATTATACCTAGCAATAAATTTGAGTTCCTAATTGCAGATGATTAACAGATTTTAAATTCCTAAACTTTATTATGTCCAGTAGAAAGAAAGCAAAAAGAATAGATTCAAATATAAGACACAGATAGGGCAGAGCAAGGGAGATCAAATTATGTTTCAAAACTGCTGAAAAGGTATTTTTAAAAATATCACCTGAACCCTCCTTTCCTCCCATGGGTCGTAGTTTGGGGATACCACCTTGGAAAAGGCCCACCTTTGTTGGAAGGGGAGATGTAGTAGAATTATAGCTGCTGCCACTCTTGGATTCTGGAATAAAAGGCTTCCATATTATTTAACTTGTCAAACTGTGTAACACAAAAAAGTGTATTAATTGCAGGTATTGTAAGCAAACCCATAACTGCTAGGCCACTATGCAACTAATGTATTTGAGATCGCTATTTAAATGTCCAAAGTTTAATATATTTTCTTTCCCCCATAATTCTTTAAAAAGATGTTTTCCTTATGTTTCAATTTAAAATGCAAAATTCAGAAACATTTATTTCCATTGTTTACTATTAATGTGTAAATGCTGGGACTTTATATTTTAATATTAATCTAAAGACTTCAGGCAGTTTACAGTCTTTATTATTGTGCAGAGATGGACTTAGTTTGCCCAGCATCAAAAGTTCCCTTTGGAAAGTCTAAAATAACTTTTAGTATATACAACAGCTAGAAGAAACACAGTGGTGCTGAGTAGAAATTCCAATGGTTAAACTATAACAATTCAAACTCCACAAACTATTTTCCTCCCTCCTTCCTAAACTAGAACAATTACATTCGAAACAATCAAGATAAGCATACAATAAAAGCAGAAACAATTTGGACACTATGTAATAAGAACTAACCAGAAGAAAACAAAGCAAATTGTGGTCAGAAGTAAGATGCGATTGTATTTTAGTGGCTTAAATAATTATTTACTGAACTAAGAACAATCCATCTCATAGGCTAATCCAAGGATAATTTTACTGGCAACAGTCCTTACCTAATTACCTTTATTTAATTTCTGGATGATGCTCTCAAGTGCCTGGAATTCAATTATTTTAAACATTAATTCCCACATTCTATTTGCATTGCTGATCTGATTCACACATTATGGGAATGATACTCTCTCTAATGGTAATTTTTTGAACAAATTCTAATTTCATAGAACATGCAAAGCACGAATAGAAATGAACCCATCTTGTATGTCTAAAGAGCTACAGATTATTCCCAAAAGAAAGGGATGATTGGGGAGAATGCAACACCTTTCCTTTAATTTGACAATAAAATTTTTCTAACAGTTGCTTCATTCACCTACTTACTTTCAAGGATAGGCGCACTGCGATCATTAACTTGAGTCACTTTTTTCAATTGGGCCCCTTTACAAATGTCTTGTAGCAGAGCATTTCTCCCTCGCTGCTCATCTCTGCTCAATTTTGGTGCTTCTGTGTTTGCCTAAAAGGAAATATTGCACCAAAAAAAATGGGAAAAAAAGATTTCTTATCCCTTAGCAGCCTGAAGATTACAAAAATCGTTCACTCACACCACTAAAAAAAAGGCTGCATTTAATGAATTTCTGCATAATTCTATAGCCAGAAGGCTTGTACTTCTACAGCTAAAAATTTCTTATTGTGGTTTAGAAAATACTTTCAAAGAACCACTTTCACCTCATCTGCAACTCTACTGTTTCCATTATTTTTATCCATCAACCTACAATAAATATTCCATTCTTTGGTCCATTTATCTATAGAATTGCAATCAAATCAGTCTTGGTGGTCAATCTATGAACACCTAATATATTCAGGATCCCTTCAGCCCTACTTCTTTATAACATGTGAACTAGAGCAGTAATGATCTGCATTCTAAAGAATCAATACAAAAGGTACATAATCTGTGGTCTTCATACATACAGTGGTTCAAAAAGTATTCAGACCCCCTTCATTTTTGTCAATTTTGTTATGCTGCAGCCTGATTCTACAGTTGATGAAATTTATTTATTTTTTCTCATTAATCTACACTCAATACTCCATACTGTTAAAATGAAATAATTGTAGAAATGTCTGTAAATTTATTAAAAAGAAAAAACTGAATAGCCATTTTTGGCATAAGTATTCAACCCCCTGACTCAGTACTTTCTTGAAGCACCTTTGACAGCAATTACAATCTCAAGACTTTGGGGATATGATGCAACAAGCTTTGCATACGTGGACTTGGGGATTTTCTGCCATTCTTCCTTGCAAATCCCCTCAAGCTCCGTCAGGTTGAATGGCAACAATTGGTGGACAGCCATTTTCAGGCCCCTTCAGAGATCTTCAATAGAGTTCAAGTCAGGGCTCTGGCCGGGCCATTTTAAGGACATTCACAAAGTTGTCCCTAAACTACTCCTGTGTTAACTTGGCTGTGTGCTTAGGATCATTGTCTGTTGGAAAGTGAACCTTCGGCCCAACCTGAGATCGTGAGCGCTGTGGAACAGGTGTTCATTGAGGATGTCCCTGGACTCTGCTGCGTTCAACTTTCCTCAATCCTGTCCAGTCTTCTGGTCCCTGCTGCTGAAAAACACTGTCACTGCCATCCCCATGCTTCACTGTTGGGATACTGGACAGGTGATGAGCGGTGCCTGATTTCCTTCAGAGATAACATTTAGAATTGAGGCCAAACAGTTCAATCTTGGTTTCAACAGGCCAGAAAATCTTATTTCTCAAAATCTGAGAATCCTTCAGGTGCTTTTTTTTTTATAAACTCCAAGTGGGCTTTCATGTGTTTTGCACTGAGGAGGGGTTTTCGTCTAGCCACTCTGCCTTAAAGATGAGATCGGTGGAGGGCTGCATTGATGGTTGTCCTTCTGGAATTCTGCCCCATCTCCACACAGGATATTTGGAGCTCAGAGTGATCATCAAGATCTTGGTCACTTCTCTTACTAAGGCCCCTTTCCCTCAACTGCTCAGTTTGACTGGGTGACCAGCTCTTGGAAGAATCCTGGTTGTACCAAACTTCTTCCATTTGAGAATTATAGAGGCCACTGTTCTCTTAGGAACCTTCAGTGCAGCAGAAATTTTATTGTAGCCTTTCCCAGATCTATTCCTGGTAATAATCCTATCTCCACAAGCAGTTCCTTTGACCTCATGGTTTTAACTCTGCTACAGTATGCATTGTCAGCTGTGAGGCCTTCTATAATGTGCCTTTCCAAATCATGTCCAAACAATTTATTACAGGTGCACTCCTATCAAGGTGTAGAAATATGTCAGCAACAATCAAGAGAAATAGGGGTCACCTGAGCTAAATTTCAAGCTTTGATGCAAAGGGTCTAAATAATTACTGTACCCCAATGTGGTATTTCAGTTTTTTCTTTTTAATAAATTTACAGACATTTCTAAAAATTGTTTTCACTTTGTCATTATGGGGTACTGGGTGTAGATTAATGAGAAAAAAAATATGAATTTCAACAACTGTAGAATCAGGCTGCAGGGTAACAAAATTGACAAAAGTGGAGGGGTTTCTAAATACTTTCTGAATGCACTGTATATGAAACTGTCTTACACTTTTATGTAACTTGGCATTATTTACTTAGCATATATAAATTTTAGGAATAGGTTTTCCTAGTTATGCTACCCGAGCATAGGTATATGGGACAGAAACAGGACCTGACTCTCAGGGTTTGGACTCCCTTTTTATTATCACCTTAGCAACAACTGAAGCACTCTCTAAATGTATGAGTTTCCATTCTCAAAAATCTAAGCCGTATTGACTGGAACTGGAGCCAGAAGTCTGCATATTTGGAAGATATACAACCTGACATAATCAGTAGAACTAAAGATTTATTGTGGTTAATCTATACCAGGGATAAAACAATACATAGAAGCAGAAGGACTACCTGGCTGAGAGTTGGAGGAGGAGGAGGCCCAGGTGGAGGGGGTGGTGGAATTGGCATCTTTGCTCCACTCACTCCTGGCTTAGTGTAAAAGGAATGTTTGATCACTTATAAACCTGCAACGTTGGAAGGAAAAAGACAATTAGAGGACAGGTGCAACAAAAGATTGCACTAAAATATACAGGTAGTTCTTGACTTATAAACACAATTAAGCCCAAGTTTTCTGTTAAGCAAGACATTTGTTAAGTGAGTTTTGCCCCGTTTTACAATTATTCTTGCCAGAGTTATTATTATATAAATCTGGCTTTCCCACTGACTTTGCTTGTCAAAAGGTTGCAAAAGGTGATCACATGACCCAGCACACTGCAACTGTCATAAATATGAGTCAGTTGCCAAATGGCTGGATTTTGATCACATGATCATGGAGATGTTGCAACGGTAAGTGTGCAGTCGTAAGTCACCTTTTTAGTGGGGTTGTAACTTTGAACAGTCACTAAATGAACTTTTGTAAGTTGAGGACTACTTATATTGTGAACTGCTTCTACTGGAGCATTCCTGCATTTATTACAGTTCCTAATATAGTACCTTCTAAATAGATGACAAGCACTATTGACTGGAAGTCCTGGGAGTTATATTGCTTACACATTTTGAGAGCTGGAAATTAATTTACATATTAACTCATTTTATATCGTTTTCATATTAACTCACTTATACATTTAACAATTGTATATTAACTTTATAGCATAATAATGCATCCATTCAAAATAATTAAAATAACAAAAGTTGCTAGTAACAAAAAGAAATAGGAAAACTGAAATTATTGCAAGCACTTGTTGAACCAACAGCATTGCTTTCAATATGTTATTTAAATATCATGACAATTGAAAATTCTTGGAGTTAAAAATCTAATACATTGGGAGAAGTGTTTAATAAAGAATACAAAAAACCCCAATAATTTCAACTTACAAAATAAATAATTTTCAGTTGACAAATCCAAAGCCCCAGAGAAAATATTTTAGGGAATATTTAGTTCCACATTAATTGACAAAGTAAAATGAAACTTAATGAAAAGTAAAGCTTAAATGGGTTTGCACTGTGTCGTGTATTTTTTAACTATACTATCATTCACAACAATTATTTTAGACTGCCCACCTATACTCTTTTGTTTTTATACAAATCTCCTGGAACCAGAAGCCTAAATGGAAGGAAGCTTGCAAAACCACCAGATGATAACAGAACTATATTTATAGCAATCGATGATAAAAGCTATTGTAAAAATAAGGCAGCCCGTTACTCAAATTTTCTGCTTTTAATATATATAACTCTCTCATTTCATTAAGAAAAGCTTTCTCACAAATATAACTTTCCTTACATTTTTGCTATACATTTAAGATACTTGAGATTTTTCAACATCCATGGTTTCCAAGAACTGTAAGGCATTCTCACAAGCATACATTTCTGAAGGGGCCACAACTCTTTTCACAGCATTCATGCTTTTATAAGTATTCCTAATGGTCTTTGAAAGAAATTTCGATAATCAAAATTATGTAGGAGTAGAACATCACTTCAGGTCTGAAATCATATGTCTTACAAACAGGAGGGGCTTTTTTTCTTCTTGCACCCTCTTCCACCAATTGTATTTTGTATCTTCATCTGCCTTAAAGTTCGAATACCGTTGGAGGAACATTCTGGGGTTGTTAAGAATAGGCTATATGCCTTACTTTGGCTGAAGTTGTGAAGTAAAAGTCTGCTTCCTTTTTAGAACTAAAACTAAGCAATATGTCCAGATGCTACTCCAAATACTTCTCAAATCTTATGATTCATGTAGCTGTTCAGATGTTGCTGAGAGAGAGAGAGAGAGAGAGAGAGAGAGAGAGAGAGAGAGAGAGAGAGAGAGCGCATATATCTCCCATTCATTCTGCCAGTTTTATCTTATAGTATTCTAGATGCTAGAAATCTTGTCTTTCTTACTACTACTTTCCAACCTCATGGGAATTCCAAAGCTATTTGCTGTAACAGACTGCTGACTGACAGATACTCCTTTTGGAATTCCTATTCTAATTTCTGTTATTGATCCTGTTAATTTGTGGACCAAATATGCAGAAGAGTACCCCAACCTTGAAATTAAAAGTTAATGGTATATATACAGGTCAGAAGGATTGAAGATCAAGATGATTTTAGTTGTGTGTACTTTTGACTATCACACTGAACACTTTCTATAGAATTTGTGAAACTGTGACTTCAGCTAGCTGCAGGAACCCCAGGAACCAAACTATTCAAACACTGAACTGATTATGGTGTTGAAAGGAAGAGTCCAATGAATCCAAAATTCAGCCATCTTGCAATTGGCAACAAGAATTTTCAAGATTTCATCCTATATTTTCAGTACAGTAACTGTGTGCCTGTAATTATAAGTAGCCAGACAAATTTAGTCTTAATACAGCAGTACATTAATTGCCATCCAAACTTGCCCAGAGTTTACATAACCAGAGACAAACAGGCATGAGTCTTTATCAGATACCACATCACAGCAGAAATGTAGCAAGAACAGGTGTGTAATGGAGGAAGTCTGACTCATCCATGACACTACAGATACCTGTCAAATCCACAAGACCAATGAAACTATTTTAAGTAGGTCAATGAAGATTCTCAGTCATCCAGGGAAGTCTAATAGTACAGGAATGTGTCAAGTTTCAACACTTGCCCATCAAAGCAAAGAAATAGGTGGCACTTAGGAAACTTTATCAATCTACTCAGAAATTTGAGATTTTAAGGCAAACACTTGCTTTATAGAGTCTAAAAAATCCTCCCTCCACAGAACCGGTTCCTGGTGCCCAAAAGGTTGGGGGGGGGGGCATTTAAAAGACCAAACTAACTGTATGTGAGTAAGAATTACTCCCCCTCACCTTTTCTTTCCTCCTTTTTATTTTATCACAGTATTTTTATAATTGTATTAACATTGCTGTAAAAAGATTCAGTGTCCACAAAACTCTTAAAATCCCATCTTTCTTCAAAGAAAGAAGCAACAGCTTTGTCAGAACTCCTTGTGATATCTGCTAAACACCGAGAGACATCAAACACCTCTAAAAGATACTCAGCAAAGAATAGTGGATGCTTCATCACAATGAATATTTGTGTTGTTCTTTCCATGAACAAAGACCAGAAGAGGAATTTAGAGGGGAAAAAGTGATTTGTAAATAAAAAAAAGCTCAATACAACATTCTTGCCCAATTAAGATCCTCCAGACATGCTGAAATTGTATATGACAATTATAAGAATTATAATACCAAAATATGTTGAAGACTATAACTCAACAAACTACTTTTTTCAAATGCCTAAGTTTGAACAATTAAAAATTAGTTTTAATTCTTCCTTAAACGGGACTTACAAATTCTTAAAAATTACTAGAGATAGTTACATATATATTTAGTTATTTAGGGTTTAAAGGTGGTGATATTAAAGCTTCTTAAAAATAGGCAGTCAATCATTTGCTCTAAAAGACTGGTATATAATCATCTGACCCTTGATGATCAGGTAGTCACTTTCCCAAAAGCAAATGGAGCCAAAAGAAACATTTAATAAATCTACTTGTATTTATTATCTCCTGTTACATCAGATGTGCTTAATATTTTAGTGCCATGGGTTCCTTACAGAATCTGGTGAAACTCATGAGTCTCTTCCAAGATATTCGTGAAGAGAAAATTTTTCTTCATCCAAATTTGTGGACCCTCTGAAATGTATCTGTGGATCCAAGGTTAAAAACCCCTGTGTTATATTAAAGTTAACATTCAGTTATATGGACCCCATGCAATGCACAAACCACAGGCTGAGTAGCTTTACACTGAGTATTAAAGTCACTGATCAAAGTTATGATTTTTCTGGAGCACAGAATAATGAGGCATAAGAAAACATAACCAACCATCGCTAACCAAAAACCTTTAAAAGAGATGCATTAGCTATGAGTTCCAAGAAATCTTCATGCTATTTAGGAGACAGAGAAAACACCTTAATATCAGTGAAGTACTCTGCCAGGAAAATGTTATTTCTATAATACTTTCTGAAACAGCCTTCTACCAAACTAAATTAGGTTGGTGGGCATGCCCTTCCTTTCCAATTATTATGAGTAAACAACTTTTGGCCAAATAACATTTTTGTGTCCCTCACAGTTGCTGAAACAGAGTGATATAGTTTCCTGACATTCTGAAATGAGAAAGAATATTTAAATTTAACAAAGCCAAGGTATAATTCATTAAAAAAAGGCTAATAATCCCTGGAAAATCCTGGCATGGACATTGTATATTATAATATACGTTCAAACTAAACTGTCAAATATAAGATCATCTAAAGGGTTTCTATTTGATTCATGAGAACACATGCCCTTCTATCCCGTTCTGCTAATAACTAAGTAGATATTGGGGTTGATATTCAATTAAGAGAATACTGATTGTTCTATTTCTCAAAAATTAACCATCTATATACCTACTAGAAGGTTCTTTGCCTCCAACCATTTATCATGAAATAATTAAATGCTACCAGTCAATCAATAGTTCCTTTCCATGTCACATAGGCAACATCTACGTATTTTCAGTCACTGGTGAAATGGAAGGAATCTTCCAGTTCCCATCAGCTCCCAAACTGTTAGAAAAGTTCTTTTCCCTTCCTGGAATATCCTTATTTATTCTAATGCTCAATACAGAAATAAAACATATTGGACTATTTCCATCTATAGGTAGATATTTTTCTTCAGTACTACTTCAGACAACATATAATAAAATAAATAGGATTCCAACATTAACAAGAAAAAGGTATCTTGCCAACATCTCACATACACAGTACTACACAACAGGATCTTCACAATAGCTTAACAGAAAAATAAATTTAAGAAGTACAAACATACCTATCTAGTTGGGAGCTTCCAAGTCAGAAGCAACAGAACAAGCTCCGTAAGATTCATCTAGAAGCACCTAAAGTTAAACACTACCTCCTTCTCACATTTCCTTTCCTGCTTTCATTACGAAGTCACACCCTTGTTTTATGAGCACAAAAGAATATGTGGCCTTGAAGTAACTCAAGTTATAAAGTAGTAGTATGATCACCTGTGGAGTGATAGTATGATCACCTGAGGAGGGCAGGAAATGACTACTTTAGTGATAAGCAAGCAGCCTCAAGTAAAACACTTCTGCAAAATGCATGTTCAGCAACCTTTTCAAGTTGTAAGAATCTCTTGATCAATTGGAGATATCCCTATTTAGAATATAGCTTGGCCATTAGCTCACTTGTTCCAGTATACACAACTACATTTTTTCTTAAGCACCAATTAAATCAAGTAAACAGGTTCCTTGCTCATTTCATCTCTTCTATTTTAACACCTCAGGGTTGGGACATTTTAATTAAAATCTGTTTAATTAGGAATGAACAGTATTAAGAATTGGTCCTATAAGATGCACAACCTCTGGTGGTACCATAACATAATAAAATAGAAAAGGAGAATAAAAACTAAGTGCATATGTATTTCTGTGCTTCTGGATTTTTCACTAGACTGCAGTGCATTTATTGCATTTCATTTCTTCCATTTCCTAAGAATCTGGTTCCTTTTGAGGTTTAACTGTGGAGAATGTAGAATTAAAATATGTCCATTCAAAATAAAGTCCAACATCTATGGAGGTGCAGTCCAGATGACATCAATTAATTGTAATCATAGAATCCCCCAAAGTAAATTACAATTTTAGAAAACATTAATTGTTAATTTATGATTTTATGATTTTATGACTTTATGATTCATGCAAGAATGCTAAAATCAAATACTTGCCAGCCTTGCAACTGGTCTGTAATATTTGTTGAAGTACTTTTAGCAATACATTGGTGTCTGTAAATATTATCAATTCCTGATCCAGGATAACACGTATATTATAACAGGTTAGTGTCTCTCTACTATGAAATTTATTTTCACTCAAAGGATGTGATGTGAATAACAGCATAAAAGTCAGTGGGGCTCAGGGTTGACACACATCAATAATTGACTTTTGAGGGAGGCATGATGAAATGAAGATAAGATGAGAGATTGCCCACATGGGCCCAGGCTTCTCACAAAAAGACTGAGACAGTGGTTTTCCACAGGTTTGAACACCAGGAGAAAAAGAGATGAGCTATCCTGCTAGGAATTTTAACACAGGACCTTAGACGTGTTTTGTCCCCTGGAATCTAGGTTTGGCATCTTTGTATAAAATCAAGGATGAATTTGGATGGATGACTTTCAATGTCCGAATATCAAAGATCAATTTTGTTTTTTTTAAAAAAATATTATTGAATAAAGCCCATGTCATAATATGCATGAAATTTCTCCTGTTAGGGTGTCAATGTGAAAGCTTATAGCTAACAATGTTCATGTGACATAACAAAAGGTGTGTGATAGTTTGTAATATTGTTTTACAAGGTATCAAGTGCTAGCATATGAGTATGTCAGAATGGTGTTGTTAGTACAGGGTACCAGCCTGGTCTTCTCTCTGACTGCAATGTTTGAATGCCTCCAATTTCCAGCCATACTGATGCACAGCTGGGAACTGAATTCAAAAGACTGCTGTCCTACTCCTGAGGACACACGGATTCCCCAGGCCGCGTAATAACAGAAGTTGGAGGGAGGCGAGGGAGAGTGCCCTTTATCTTTAGAGGTGGGATTTAACCTGTGATCTCCTGACAGAGAGACAATGGGCTAACTTTAGGAAGGAGGTTTTGGAGTGAAACACTATGTTTTGATTATAAGCCTCCTTCACTCTCCTTGTTTGAATGCTGCCCCAGGCTGGCTGGGAACCAATTTGGAGGCCAATGAGCCCCCCTCTTGCCTTGGAGAAATCCTCTTCCAGCCTTTGAAATTGGCTCCAAAGGCAGCAAGGAAGCCACAGGGTGCAGGCGTCTGCTGCCGGTCGTGTTTGAAAGCTGAGGAATGTTGCTCCTCTAACTTGGAGAACAAATGCTACTCGCTTTTGCGTCGCATCAGCATTCTGCCTTCACCATGGTATATTTGCGGCAGCTTGCAACTTCCATCCGCCATCACTTCAGCCCACTTGCGCCACGCTCCCCCCCTGCAACAGCACCATTACCTCATTCCGGCTGGTGAGGGCTGTGCACGTGTCATCCCCTATGGCAGAGATTTCTAGCCCCACCATGGGCCGGTCCCATATTCCAGAGCTGTTGTAGTCACAGGACTGGCTCTTTGGTCATCTTGAAGCAGCTCCTCCACAGCAGCCAGTACACCCAGGTGGAGAAGCTGCTTCGGGATGACCAAAGGGCCAGTCCTGTGACTACTACAGCTCTAGAATATGGGAGTGACTTTCCCACCAATGTCAGCAAGCCATCCTTGGGCAGATTTCCCTCCCCAGCTGTTGGTCTTACCTTCCAGTTCCAGCTTGCGTGGTTCTACTGAAGGTAAGTTTGCCAGCGGGTGGTTCTACTGAAGGTAAGGTGGGGGCCAGCGGGTGGGTGGACCATGTGGGCAGCACCGCCTTGTGTTCCCGCACAGCCTGGATTAATTGCTTTGGAGGAGTGCTTTGGTGGGGACATTTCTCTGCGGGCCACCAAAATTTTCTCATGGCCAACCAGTGGTTTACGGCCCATCAGCTGGCGACCACTGGTTTAAATTAAGGCATCCCAAAGATGTCTTCTTCAATTATAAGCATCATCAATGTCCATGTTAATTATCCTATTAGAGGTCAATAGAGCTCCACAAGGTAGAAACTAAAGATGAAAATATCTCATACCGATATCATCCCATTTTTTTTAGTATGGAGAACATTATTAATTTGAATGGCAGAGCTCAATGATGTTTCTTACAAGTCTGTAAGACTCTTTCAAGTCATTCATTTATAATACTTATTTACTTAAAGATTTACACTTCCTATTTCCCCAACCATGAAGTAAGTGCGCTGAGAAAAAGTGGTTGGCCCAAAGATACCTAGTGAGCTTTCATGGCTGAAGGTGGACTAGAATATGTGTCTCGCTGCTCTGATTAAAACCTTAATACTGGCTTGCACATAGACTGGTTAGCAATAACTTTTGTTAGGTTTATTTGAGGCACAAAGTTACCTATTTTTTTTTTTAATTCCCCCATAACTCATCGAAGCATAAACACTAGATTTGACAGCACTTTTTGAATTCTAAAATGCTTACTTGCAAGGCTGATATACAGGCAGAAATGGAAAAACATGTGGAAACTGGACCTTCTAAATTGCAACAGAAACTACCTAGAGAATACAGATGGTAAGAGATAGCCTGACTCAGGTGATAGGCTCGCAAGAAAAAATCTTACTGGTCTGAACATGCCCATTAGAGTGTCAGCGTGTTTTAACTTAAACCAGCTTTTATATAAAGGGATTTCATTGGATTGGCACCTTTGGTGTGGGCTAAAAGAGCTATCACATGAACAATCTGATGATAGTTGAATTAAATAAATTAATCAAGCTCCTGAAGAATTCTCTACAAAATAAACAAGCAGTGCAGTACTGTCCAAGTCTACCATTAGACATTTCCACCAATCTACTCTTCAGCATTCCAAGGCCTGCAGCTCCAGACAAGTTCATATGGTCCTCTTCCAATTTTCTCCCCTAACTTAGTCAACCTAAGATAACACAGGAAAAAATAAATAAATTGGGCCACAGGCAATAAGCCGCATCCTAGCATGCATAGTACATTAGCTTACCAGCTTCTCTAGACTCAAAAGTGCAAATTAAAACAGTTTATACTAGTACAGTAGCACTAAATTACCGACAGATGACAACTGGTTCACCCCATTTTTATATAAAGGTGTGTATTTCATAAGATTATTGTTCAGTTATTCAAAACTGACCTGATTTCTAAAAAGGAAGTTAGCAATTGTTCTCTGTAAAGAATTCCTGTATTCTGAAGAGAAGTAACTACTACAGCATTGACATTAAATTTTCAATCATTAAAAATAATACATCCTTTAAACAGGAATTTATATTCTATTTCCCATACCAACTTATTTTATATCCCGTATATTCGTGTACTTACACCTGTTTTGAATTGTTACTTGGCTTTAAATTGCGGGCAGGTAATATTAACATATGCTATGCTTAAAAAATCCTTATACCCATAAAACTAAGGGAGCAAAGTGCAAACAACTGGGCCATATTAGCATATATGTTGATTTTCTGATTGTAGGAAGATGCACTTACATGCAGTGACCTATTCACAAGAGGTATCACAGCCTTAAACCACTAAATCGTTTTATTCTGTTTTATGTGTAGATTCAGTTTCAGAGAAACATAGTCCTGTAAATATGCTTCAAACTACTAACCCATTTATTTTGATTTTATTAGAGATTCAGAGTAGGGAAAATGTGAGACCTATTTTACATTCCTAAATACTAGGAAAAACACATTGATTGAATGTAATAAAAACTATAAAATACTTAGTTTTAAATAATATCTGTACATCAAATCAACTGGGTAAAAAGAATATCACATGTCATGTACCATTATGCTCTTCATTATACACACCCCTTTACAGGATGGATACAATTTCTGGAATTCCAAGATTAAAGGACATTTAGGAAATTTAGTAGCTTTTAACACAGTAATAAAATAATGCAGCAACTTTGAGATGCTTGTTCTATAAAATAAACTTTGTGATATTCTTTTCTAATTTGTATATTAAAAATCAGACAATGAAACCCAGAACCAAGGAAATGTGCCTTCTCTATTGCGTTTGTCATCTAGAACAGTATTCCTCCTCCCTCCTCCCTAGAGTCCTTAAAAAGTCTCTGAAACCTTTTTTTTCCCTCAGACTTTGAGGTATAATGGCATTGAGTTCTCTGGAATCTCAATATTGTTTGGAGATCTGGGGAGGGTTTTTTAATATGAATTTATAAATAAACCTATATTTCAGTAATTTCATACTGTACAAAACAAACTACAAGCTGGGGTGTTATATATGCTCAATCCAATAATAAATCCAAATCACACAAGAAATAAACACTACAGAGGATCTTCTTGTCTATTTTCTAAAGCTGTCTCCTGCAGTCTAGCAACATCCAGATATCAATTCCCAGAAGTCTCACCTCATATGGCAATGGCACTAAGAATTCTGCTAGCTGATGTCTTAGCTATCTTGGGCACATCAGTTTGGAAAAGGCTATGTTGAACTCAAAAGGAATTCAGGTATCATTGCTAAATAATACGTTAAACAAAAAAATGATAGTCCTAACTTGAAAACGTTGGGTTTTCAAATAAGAAAAACTTAAAATACTAGATATTTTATTACGAATTGTTACTCAATATTACTAAGAAATCTGAAGATAAATATATTATTGATAATTGAAATTATTGAAATCAATAATTTATTTAGATATATTAAACAGAGTATTAAAAACCATGCTAAAGAACTATTTGTGTAATGATCATGAGTCAGATATAAAAAGATTTCCAGAAGAAAATAAACTACTTTCCACATTTACTGAATGACAATATCTCCTACAAGTATGGATTACATGACATCATAGCCATTTCACACACAGAAATGTTTGTACTTATGATATATGGATAAATTACACATAAATCAACAGAAAAGCCACAAGAATAAACATCACTGAACAAACTTGTAATGGCTGACTTATAACAATGTTTCCTGAAGAATTCTTATCTGATTCCATATAATATGCTTCCTTCCTTTTTTTCTTTCTTTCATTTGAAAATTTATAAGGCAGCTCATCTCAACCTAATGATCTGGACAACTAACAATACAAGTGCAAAACAATATAAACTTGAAAAACAATAAGTTTATACTTCCTTCAGCTTCACTACAGGGATCTGAATAATATTTGCCCCTAACCATATGTCCATTATTTATACTACTTGATTATTTTTCAGAATGGTCCTCTGGCTAGATAGCCACTCATCTAAATCTTCTAAAATTTGCCCAAATTACATATAATTGCCCATTCTTTTTTCCAGATTTTCTCCAATATATATAACTGAAATGAACATTCTGAAAATATGAAGTAAAATTCTAAAATTAACAAATTGCAGAGGCTTTTATGCAGACTACCATAGTTTATGGTAAAACCACACAAGAGAAATGTCAGAACACCTTCAATAATCTGTTTTGAGTTCTCCATCAAAATTCCATATGGCAGCCTATTCTGAACACTAAACCAATTCTCAGAGATAGAGGGAACAGAAATTATCCCAGTTTAAAATAATCTGGTATTGATAATAAGAACATGATAAAGAATAACAAAAAGATGTTAAACAGTTACTCAATCCATACTAAAGCTTTTCTTTCTTTTCTCTTTCTCTTCTCAGTTACAAATCGGATTCACTCAGTTACTCTGAGAGGGAGACGGTTTTTCATCAGAATGTATCCAAGTAGAGACCAGTCATTTTTTGAGGACGCTTTAATTTGGAATCCTGCACAGAGCAGGGAGTTGGACTTGATCCCCTAGATCACTTTTTCAGCTCTATTATTCTATAAATATGAATACTGTTATACCAGATTTGGTACCATGATCAAATAGAACTCAAATTAGACAGAAAGCAAAGAATATTTTGCAACTGGGTGTTAGAAGCATGATACTGAAATCAAAATCCAACTAAAATATTTAATGAGGATATTTCTTCTACAATAACTTAGATATAACAAAGCTCACTCCTGACAACTATCTGTACAATATTATTTTAGGAAAAATAATTCAAAGAAATTCTCTAGTGTTTAGTATTGAACTTTATTTCAGAATAGTTGCTGACTGGTACTGGCATGGAAATAGCATACAATTAAGTACTTAAAACTGCAAAATAATTTGAAAATTATAGGTATAACTAAAATGCAGTATGACTTTGTTAGAGAAATAAATTATACTAATTTGAAATATGGCACAGCCTAAGAGTAAAAGCTTCTATCCAAAGCTTTCCTGTTGTGTATTTTCAAAAACAGGCTTTAGCCCAAATCACAAACCATTATTTTACCCCTGTAGACTAATTCAGGTCCTCAATGAACAAGTATTCCAAAGTAGATATGAGCAGAAGATATTCCATGAAAGTCACAAGCTATTATTCTGTTCACTGAGGAAGTAATTTTTCAGGAGCTGTTTTAATGCATCTCCAGTTCCACTTAATTACAGGTATTTCTACATGACAAGTTATTTTATACCTTTAACACTTAAGGGTGCTGGGAATTTAAAGAACACCTTTTAGTGAACAAATACCACAAGCAGGCAAGCACTGATAACTTTCAATTGAGCTCCACCCCCACAGACTGAATGCCCAATTCCTTAAGACGCCTAATGTTCTGGACTGATCACACACACCTTTGAAAAGGAGCCACACCTAAAATGCCCATTGTGTAACAAATGAGGAAGATGAGCATACGACCTGGGAAATACCTTGGCTTTAAGAAAGCAAAAATGACTAGATAAGAAGTTGATTGTAACTGAATTGTGGTGAATTTTGAAGATTTCAAGGATACCTGATATATAGGGGGAGGATCTATTTGGTGTTCAATAATAACCAAGTACAGATGAAGCTCCACTTTATCTTTTACCCTCACCCAGCCATCTATTTAATGTCTGCATGACAACTCCTCCCACCCTTAAAATAAGGGAAGAAAAAGCACAAATACTGTAGTTCTTTTTGGCTCAGTTTCAATAGAAAAGCAAACCATCCCTATGTAAACATTTCAGAAACCTTCTGTCAAGGATACATTTCTGTTACCACACAACCACCCCAACTGGTGATGATTCTAACATATATTGATTGCTTCTTCAGTTCACCTCTATTATCAGCAGACCCATTACCTACTGTTACCTGACACTCCCTCTGCCTGCCCGCCCACCCTCATTAGCACCTAGGCAGCGTTAATTAAACCCGTTTTGCCTGTCAAGCTTTTCAGGTGAGAAGCATTTCTCAACCCAGAGTCCAGAAAACTTCAGGTCCCTGATGAACTACTTCACCGTTGGGAGATCTGAGATAACAGATCAAGGATGGATCGTCATGGAGAAAATTTATCTGCATGGCGTCGAAAATAAGTCGATAGGACACAGCCAATCAATGACATACGCAGAAGAGCTGTAGCCAGTTCCCGCACCTTTACCTTATCTCCCAAATCACTGGTCTTTGTTTTAACGCTTTTACTAGACCCGCAAGCAGTTTTTACAGGAATCTTTTCACCCCGCACCCAGGTAAATCTCTAATTCCAATCCTCAAGAAACCCTTTCCCCATCTTCCCGGATTCAGAAAGAATCCACAACCTGCATCCTTTCAGCAATGCCTCTTGATTACCACACGTCCCACTTAACTGCGCTGCTCCCTCTCCGGTATCTTTCTCGGCTTCTCACGCCACCTTTTCCTAACTCCACCACGCCTCGCCCCCTCCGCAGCCCATGACCCTTGACCTCCAGGGTAAAACAGGTCAAATGTCAAACCTCCATCAAAGGTCACCGTTCTCCTTTCTCCCCAAATGATGCCCCGTGAAAGGTCTCATCTCTCCCGATCTCCCAGAAGCCCACTTCAGATTTCGGTGCCTCCTCGCTTACCCACGACGCGCACTTCCCCTTCTCGCGTCCGGAGCCTTCAATCCGGAAACAGACGTATGCCCGCCCGGCGGCCATACAAAATGGCGATGAGACGCACGCCTCCGGTCAGTGCGCACGCGTATGATAGCCCCACCCTCTTCCGGCTTGGTGTCTGGAAAACGGAAGAACGTAAGGCTAAGCGGTAGCCATGATAAGGAGGTCAGAGCTGAACGGGAGGGGCTGCGGAAAGAGCGTCGCTTAATCACGTGACGTATTCAGTGTTATTCGTGGAGTTTTGTCGCTATCATTAGGCGAAATACAGATAGCAGTCGTAAGAAGGGATGCATAAATCTTTCAGGGGTGCTTCATTTATTCGCATATTCCACCAAAATTAAGTAGTTGTTGGTCATAGAACTCATGAAAAATCAAATAAATAAATCAGCGTTTCTCGTGTTGGCTGGAGAATTCAGGGAATTGAAGTTTTTTTTTGGGGGGGGGGCGGTCAATTGCTTACAAGATAATAGGTATAAGTAAAAACAGTTATGAATACATGGATATATATAAGAAAAATTAAAAAAATATAAAAGAAACAATAGGACAGGGATGGTAGGCACGTTGGTGCGCTTATGCATTAAATCAGTTTAAAATATTGCACAGTCAGATGGAGCTACCACGAGTGATGCAGTCCTGTGTTAAAATTGTAGACGGATTGTTGGACAGAGATCTATGGCAACCTTGCAATTTATTTTCCTAGGTCAAGCAAATGATTCCTTTTTCAAGAAGCCTATAGTTTAATCCAAAGTGATACTGTTAGCTATAGAACTACTATATTAGCTAGTGTTTCAGGCAATAGCTTAAATATTGTTAAAACGTTTGTTTGATCCTCCTGGTTTTATGGCATGTGGATCGTTTTATTTAAGATACCTCTTATTTTCCTGCAAACGGTTCATATTATTTGTGAAACAAATAATATGAACCACAGTGAATATTCTACCATTCCTTTGATGTATTCACTTTATTTAGCGTCATACATGGATTTCATCTAGATTAATAAAACACAATAAAAATAAATGTTAAAAAGATCTATGTTCAAATACCAATCTCTAACCATTGAAATGCAGCATTGTTTATATTTAAAAAAAATCAGATCCTGGACTAGTATATACCTATATGCCCTCTGCTTACAGCCAGTCACAATGTCATCTACTGTTTGACATGGGACCCTGCAGTCACATTGAGGGGAGGATACTATGCCCCATTTGTGCAGATGCCATGAGAGTTGCAAATTCTATTCAGATAGTCCATTGCTGATGTCATAGTTCAAAGCCTGCCATCTTTTATGTGGGTCATTTATGTTTTCCTACATCTAGATGTTCAACGACGCATTTGGCTTTCCATTGGGAACTGATGTTATAAACTGTTGGGCAGATGTTCTGCAAGTGCCAGTGAGGACTTTCTGGATTTTAATCTTCCATCTGATAAACGAGGAAGGTCAGCATGCATCGGTAGGAGTTTTATTCCCTTTAAGAATTGAACAAAATCATCACTTTAAGAAGTATGGGACACTGTTTAAACTGCAGCAGGGACAATTCAATCCATATTATTTCTTTTATCATCTGCTGCCACCAAGCTAGCACTCAACTCATTGAAATATCCTTTGCACCATCCACTTCCTTTCACTTCTACTTTTCTAATGATAAGCAGTATCCCTAAACAGAAATCTAGAATATATAAATTAATTAATTCTTACCCATCTTAAAGCCAACATTTAAATAATCTAGCTCACAAAATAGCATGCAGACTTTTAAATCATTGGGCAAGTTTAAATCATTGGCCTTGAGTCACCATGGGTGAACAGGAGGCAATATAAATAAATGAATAAATAAATAAAGGTAGATAAAAATTGAGAAAAAAAACCAAAATAGATATTTGGATTGTGTTTTCATTGTTCAACAAGGCGGTTTTTGCATTTTACTGACCTACTATCAGTACAAGAATTTCTTGGGTTTTATCAGTGGTGGGATTCATATTTTTTTACTACTGGTTCTGTGAGCGTGGCTTGGTGGGCATGGCAGGAGAAGGATTTGGATCCAGTCCCACCGCACTCCAAAGGAAGGATGCTGTAAAATTTCCATTCCCTCCCCATTCCTGGGGGAAGGTTACTGCAAAATCCCATTCCCTCCCCACCCCACTAACCTGCTTTCCAGCTCCGTTCTCCTGTGCAGGGCAACAAAAGAAGACCCAGCCGATCAGCTGGGACGCAGGAGGCAGAGAATAGATTGGGGGGGGGGGCAGTCAGAGGTGGTATTTGCTGGTTCTCCAAACTACTCACAATTTCTGCTACTGGTTCTCCAGAACTGGTCAGAACCTGCTGAATACACCTCTGAGTTTTATATAGATCATTTGTGGAAAAGTGTGTTAGTGTGGCTAACAATTTACAGAATTCTTTTTTTTTTATTTACACAGGAGAGATTTCATTGCTTGTTGCACTCTCCTAAAACAATTTCACAAAAGCCACTTTATCAATCATAAAATTTCCAACTGGGACTTACTTATTTATTTGTTTATTTATTTAATTTATATTGCCGCCTATTCGCCCATGGCGACTCGAGGCGGCTTACATAATGTAAATCCATATTTAAAACAAAAAATAAAAATAAAAAACAATAAAAACTTACAAGAAGAATCAAATAAATTAGTAAAATACAATAGAACAAAATTTGGGGGAAAAAACAAAAAAACAAGAACCAAATCCCACCCCAAGAACAGCAGATCACACTAGCCATTTGATGGGCTCCCTCCCTTTCTGGGTACCCCAGGCCCACTGGCAAAACCAGGTCTTCAGTGCCTTTCAAAGTTCACTTTCCTAGAGTGGGGGCCATCCTAATCTCTGTGGGAATGACATTCCAGAGAGAGGGAGCCATCACGGAGAAGGCCCTTCTTCTGGGTCCCACCAGGTATATCTCCCTCATGGATGGGACCCACAACATTCCCTGCCTCACTGCTCTGATGGATCGGATAGATGTGATCGGCAAGAGACATTCCTTCAGATAACCTGGTCCCAAGCCATGAAGGGCTTTAAAGGTGACAACCAGCACCTTGAATTGCACCCGGAAGCAAATTGGCAACCAGTGCAGCTCCCACAGGAGAGGTGACACATACACACCGGGATCTGCACAAAACCATGTGGGCCACTGTATTTTTCATCAGCTGGAGCTTCCGGATGCTCTTCAAGAGCAGCCCCATGTAGAGCGCATTGCAATAATCAAGACGGGAAGTGACCAGGGCATGAGTGACTATGAATAGGGACTGCTGATCCAGGAAAGGGCGTAAGTGGTGCACAACCTGCAATTGCGCAAAGGCCCTCCTGGCCACGACCACCCCCTGCTCTTCGAACAAGAGTCGTGAGTCCAGGAAAACCCCTAGATTATGTACAGGGTATGTTTGGGGTAATGCCACTCCATCCAAGACTAAAGGTGATAATTCTCCCTGAGCCAAAGAACCCCAAACCCAGAGCCACTTGGTCTTACAAGCATTTAGTTTCAGCCCGTTGCTCCCCATCCAACCCCTAACAGGCACTGCAAGAGGGAGGACACAGCAACACTTAACTCACCATGGGCCGAGACATAGTATTCAGCATATTGGTGATACCTCAGTCCATGGTGACAGATGATCTCACCCAGCGGCTTCGTATAAATGTTGAACAGGAGCGGAGAGAATACTGAGCCCTGTGGAACCCTGTAAAGCAGTGGGTGAGGGCTGGATCTCTCCCCTCCTATCAACACTGACTGAGAGCGGCCGCAGAGGAAGTGAACCAAGACAGCACAAGGTCTCCCACTCCCAACTTCCAAAGCTGCCCAGGAAAATCCCATAGTCAATGGTATCAAAAGCCGGCAAGAGGTCAAGTAGAGCAAGGATGGATGCACTATCCCCATCCCGCTCCCGCCAGAGATCATCCAAAAGTGCGACCAATGCCATTTCTGTCCCAAATCCAGGCCTGAATCCTGACTGGTAGGGGTTGAGATAATCCATTTCATCCAGAAACCTCTAGAGCTGCTGCGTGACCACCTTCTCAACAACCTTCCCCCAAAAGGGAGGATTGTAGACAGGTTGGAAATTATCCAACCAGGTAGAGTCCAGTAATGTTTTTTAAGAAGAGGGTGGACCACAGCCTCCTTGAAGTGCTGGGGCTCCGTTCCCTCCTGTAGAGAAGCATTAATCACCGCCAGAGTCCACCCGCCTGTTACCTCCTGGGAAACTTTCACAAGTTTCTCAGGAGAAACTTTAGACATGGGTCTAAAATACTGGTACTTGCGCTTATACTCCCTAGGTTCCTGTCCACTTCCTCAGGAGCAACAGGGTCTTACTCTTACTTCATAAAATGTCCAATTGGGTCTTAATCCTACTTCTTAAGGATTCCTGAAAGTTAGTTCTGAAATACTGTAAGGTTAATTGAACACTTGTTTTCTTATTAGAACTTAAGTAGGAAATTTTGTGACTCTAAATCAGAATACAGTATTTTATAGGCTAATTCTGCTGACTGCCAGCCAACTGCTGACAATTCAAATGTCACCAGCTCAAGGTTGACTCAGCCTTCCATCCTTCCGAGGTCAAAAATGAGGACTCAGATTGGGGACAATATGCTGACTCTGTAAACAGCTTAGAGAGGGCTGTAAAGCATTGAAGCGGTATATAAGTCTGCTATTGCTTTCCTGAGAGCTTAAATGTAGATGGCCTGCATCTACCATTCTAGAAATAAGTCAAATTTTATAGTTATTATATGTGCTGAATCTTGCTTCAACTGCATATTTATGAATGCTAACAAACATGGAATGTGCAATCTTCCACAATGTGCAACTCTTATCTCTAGCAGATGCTAAATTAAAGTATTAAAACATAAAAGTAGAGGGGGGGGGCAGAAAAACAGAACCATTTGGGGGTAAAACAGACCTATCAGTCACAAGTTAATATAGTCACAAGTTAAGACAACCAACATATAGGCTCAGCTTCATCTCCTGACCCCCACACCTGGTGACAAAATCAAGTGTTCATATTAGAGTCTGAAGACAACAGAAGAGAGTCTCCATATGAGAATTAGAAGTGCCACAAATCAGTGACTGCTTACATTTGTAAAATGTTAGCCATGAGGGCCTTTATAGTTTCAAGGAAGATAACTTGATTCTTTGTTTTGTAATTACTTCCTCCATTAAGGCTGTTTCCATCCTGGCATTTCCATGCATGCATTTAATTTCAGCAATTGCTTTGATGCATCTATACTAAACACAATAATCCATCTGGATTGAACACATCATAATGGGATACCAATACATACACAACGTACAAGTGTATGCATTTTTGTATATGACTCTATTTAATAGTATGTATGCTTACAATTTGTTTTTATTTTTTAAAAAACATTAAGGTGCTTTTAACAATTCAGGATTTGGATATGTAGAAGAAAGCTTACTCTATCCAATAATTTGTTCCTGTCCCAAAAGAACTGATAAGGACAGCACAGTCCAGTCTTATCTACCAAATAGTGTCATTAGACTTGAGAAGTATGGATTCTCTGCCACTGACCTACTATTTGGAACAGCATTCCCTCTCTGCCATGTCCTCGAGCTTGCTGTCTTTTAGCAAAATATTAAAAACTTGGTTCTTTAATATTCCCTTGCCAGTGGTTTGTAAAACTGTTTCATAACATATTTTATCTCATTTTATTAGATTTCTTTAGCCTGCCTTTATCATTTCATAAGTAACTGAAGTCTTCAGACATACATAATAGTCCTTCCTCCCCCTATTTTTCCCACAACAACCCAGTGAGGTGGGTTGGGCTGAGAGAGTATTGGCCAAAGTTGCCTACTTGGCTTTCATGCCTAAGGCAAGACTAGAACTCATCAGTCTCCTGGTTTCAGTACCATAATCACTTCTATTTCCTAGGGTGCAGTTTGGGTTTAAAAGGTTTCCTTATAGTTGATTTTGTATTATGTATTTTATGATGAATTTTTTTCTTTATGTCACCTGCAGTCCTCTGATAAAGAGTTTATAAATTGAACAAAATAAAACAAAAAGCTATCAGGCATTTGTGAATCCTATTATGTTTTAAATCAGTAAAATAAATTCTGCTGCTGGATCTTCTCCAGCATGTATATCAGCCTTACTAGAAAAATAAAACATTTCAATACTTGTGAAGGCTTTGCTTTGTGAGAGATAGGTAATGAAAAGATCAATAAAAATCCAGTATATGTTGCAATCTTTTTATTTCCACCATTGTTTTCTTATCCAACATTTCTGTAGCAAAATAATAATAACAACCAATCATAGTAATAGTAGCTATCAGACCAAAAATAAGCTGCGCTTTCTTGGAATAATGCAATGCATCTTATATTCCAGTTTACAGAAGCTTTTTAGGACTATATGTAAGTGAGCTGTCCCTCATTCCAACAGTAGAAAAATCTCTGTATATTGGCTTGATACAACTCTTTTTTTAAAAAAAAATGCATGTACAATTCAAGAATGCTTTGTTAAAATATATATATATATACAACCTATATATAGATATATACATTATACACACAGACACTGGGACAAAAAGCTCTCACCAGGAGAGAGAAAAAGAAACAAGACCAAGAGATCCTGAAATGAAAATCCCTGAACAAAAAAGCCACTAGAGGCAACTCTTGTCCCTTACACACCACACATACATTAACCTTTATCAAAGAGAAAGTCAGCAAAGCAGAAAAACAATTTAAAAAGTAATAGAGATTTATTTCTAGCATCTAGTTCCTTGATAGCTATCAAAATAATGACCAAGCATTAAATACATTAGAAATGCAACAGAGGGAAATGCAATACTCAGTTCTAAAAAGAAATTTACTGAGACTCAAGTATTCCCCTTTAAGCATAAAACTATATTCTATACAGACGTGACATGTGGGTCAATAGGGTGGGAAATGCACCCTGAGCATGCTGAAGAGTATTCCCGTGATTAATTCACACTTTCAGAATGGAACTCAGATTCAAGAACTCAAACTAGAGGCATACTCTTATCATGTTAGAAGTAAAGATCTGATTATTATCAAGAGTTCTTATATCTTGTCAATTTTGTAAAACAACTTTCTTAATAGAAGGCTACTCTACAGCTGTTTGCAGAAAATTGGCATCTCTTAAAACAGGTCTCCAAATTCTTATTTTTATTGCAAATAAATTAGTCTAAAATACATACTATCTTCCTAGTTCCATTCTGTTAATTGTCATTGTAATTAACTGCTTTTAAGCATGATCATTCAATTGAACCCTCATCCTTTTACATATGTGATGTCACATAAAAAAGGGTTGGGCCTTTAATCATGTCATAACCTCCATCTTGATTCTTTTTGAGTCTACACACACACACACACACACACACACACACACACACACACACACACACAAGTGTCCCTGAACCAGGATATATTTTTCATAATAATTTGGAAGTAGACGTTAACAATGTTTTAGTACACCTTAAGTGCACTTCGTTCATAGAGGAAAGGCAGGACAAGGGATAATAGAGGACCATGTCCTTGAAACATATTATTTCAATAAATACACAGGCAGAAATATTGCCTAATCCTGTATTACCGTGACAATTTATTGCAGTTTTATCCACATTAAATCAAATCATTTGATCATTAAATCAAATCTCTTCCTCTCCAATGTGTCCCCTCCCCTTTAAGAGTCAACTCCTTCGTTAACAATTAAGCTTAAAAAGGGCTTCTAGTGCATTCAATAAAACCTTTTAGACAAGCATAATTGTTTGGTGGGGGGGAGAGGGAGGCTGTGGAGGCCACAGGTCATGAGAGGTCCAATAGTCCAGGTATTCTCCTTCGCTGTATTATACCTATTTTACAAGACCAAAGGCAAAATTTGTTTTATCTGCCATTACATTTGTGTGCATAGTATGGAGTAATTAAACATTTCTAAGGTTCTTACAAATTGTTTCATGAAAGAAAAGGAAAATCTCAACATCCTCTCCTGAGATGAAATAGTAATATCCCATCCTGGTTCTTCACAGTCACTGAAGCTGTAGGCGCCATATCTGAGCTGCATAAATTCACATACCAATAGGTGACATAAAGACTGTTCACCCAGTTTTTTGCAGACCAGATATGGTAGGTAGCCTTACTACTTTCAGTCTTGCTGATATTGATACCTACAATGGCCCTTTTCAGAGCCACACCAAGAGGAAGGGATACATTGCTTTGCTCTCCTTCTAAATGTTCAAATATAAATGTATTCAGTTTCTTCAGATATATTCAATGCCTAGATAGCATCCAGAATCATGGATTGTAGCTTTCATGGCTTTCTGAAAAAAGTTGATTGAGTTTAGTCAAAGTACAAAGTAGATCAAGTTGAAGAACAGAATAACAGAATTGGAGGAGGTCTTCTAGTCCAGTGCCCTGCTCAAGCAGGTGACCCTTTATCATGTCAGACAAATGATTGTCCAATCTCTTCTAAAAACCTCCAGTGACGGAGCATCCAAAGCTTCTGGAGGCAAGTTGTTCCACTGATTATTCTTCTCATTGTCAGGAACTTTCTCCTTAGTTCTAGGTTGGATTTCTCCTGAATAAGTTTCCATCTGTTATTTCTTGTCCTGTCGTGATATGTTTTGCAGAATAGTTGACCCTCTCTTTTATGTGGCAGCCGCTTAGTTATTGGAAGACTGCTACCGGTATCATGTCACTCCTAGTCTTTCTCTTTATAAGACTAGATATTCCTGCAACCATTCTTCATATTTTTAGCCTTCAGTCACCTAATCATCTTTGTTGCTCTTCTCTGCACTTTTTCTAGAGTCTCTTTTGTATCATGAGGACCAAAACTTGATGCAGTATTCTGAGTGTGATCTTACCAAAGCAGTATAAAGAAGTACTAGCACTTCACGTGATCTTGATACTATCCCCTCTGTTGATGCAGCCTAGGACTATAAAACAGTGATTCTCAGCAGAATGGGAATGGTTCAGGTTAATTAAAATCTGTTGAGTAAACATACTCTATTAATGAAGTACAGCAGGTATTTTTGTATGCATTTTAAATTTTAAATTTTTCATTATTTTAAATCCCAGAGAATAGAAATACAGTATATCTATTGTAGCTGGATATTAACAAGATTTTCTCACCTCAATTAAAATTAGATTTTGAAATGCATGGTTATGATTAACAGTCGGGGGAAATCAACCCTGGAGGACTGAGAATCTCCTGGTAATCTTAAAATGCTTCCACAGCAGGCTTTTTTCAGAAGGAAATATAAATGTACATTAACACTATAGAAATATTTTAATAAGATATTAGCTATAAAAAATAAATGCCTTTTGATATTTATGCACATGCTGCCTCTGGCAACTGCTCTTTTACCAATTATTGAGATTGGAAGCTTATTAATCTGATTCAAATAGTTGTAATTTTCAAGGATTTGTCACATTTACTCGTGATGGAGACATAAACTTGATGAATAGGGTTCCAATCTCCAGTGCAAACTTCAGTCAAGAAATCCAATTGAATGTGATCTCCACAAAGGTGTTCCATCGCTTCTGGACATTTTATTGTCTGTCTTAAGAATTAAGGGAGACCATATGAAGCTTCCCCATGAGGCAGTATAAGATGACCACCTCAGTTGTTAATACAGTATTTTGACTGACAATAAAAGCAGCAGAGCAAAAAAAACCAAACCCTGATAGATTGACCAATGGATTGAATTTTTTTGGAAAAAAAATCCTGCCTATGAATTATTATTAACTGACATGAGGCTTGATTAAGAGTTAAGACACAATTAAATTGCTCCACTATATTGTGAAGTAACTAAAAAGGTGCTATTTGGGTTTTTCAGCTCTAACATCAAAATGGATGGATGAATCTAGCAGGAGAGCTCCCGAGCAGATTGTGTCTCACTCTAATCGGTAAGATTACAAGGTGCCATTAAATTTTCCACCAACGTGCTTGGGCCAGCCATGACAAAGACTCTTCATCCTTGCCATCCCATGACTCCATACTTGCCTCTACAACTAAGGCAAAGCCTAGGTGGGTCCCCTGTACATCCAAAAAGTGCTCAAGTATCATACAGAGTAAACATTCTTTTTAAACAATGCCTGCATATTGACAGGGATTTCACTGGCTGTTTGACTCCAGCTTGTGAGAGAGTTCAAAGAGCAAATTCTGATTGTCAATAACCTGGAATTGACGGACATAAGCCTTTGTCTGTAGCTGCTGAGGAGATGACTCCATCTCCAAACCTGTGGAAGAAAGGAAGAAGAAGAATATTTAGGGAACTTTGCCATTACGCATACTAGGCTTTACATTTTATGAAATCATGGCTTATTTAATAATGGTTTGTTGAACAACTATAGGCTAAGTATACATAATATGCTAAGCCATAATGTAGCTGTTTGTTTGGCTTAGTATTCAAACCGATTTATGATTCATAAATTATAATTTATGGCTTACTATAATGTATGAACTCAGTCAACTGGAACTTAATGTATAACCTACAGCTACGCAAATCATAGCATCATACGCTGTAGGAATCCAGCTGTAACTACATCTTAGGTTTTGGTATGGCACAACATAGTCTCCTAAAGTATCTGATAAACTAACCCATACACAGTATTTTAATGGACTGAATTCAGCTTTTATTTCCAAAAGAACTTCTTGCTATATTCCTATTTATATAGTTGCACAGTGGGTGAAAATTAGATTGTGCTCATTATCCCACTGAAAGTGTTAGTAAAATAGTTTGGTCACAAATGAAGTTCTGATTTGCAGGATAGATTCAGAACACAAGAGATGAAGTATTTATCTTGGTTCAGTAAAGGAGTCCCAGAAAATCAGTACCAAATCTGGATTGCAAAAATCTAGATAGCCACAGAATGACAGTAGATGGATATCTTCAGATTCTTTGCAGATATTCAGCCACCACCCTAATTTGTAGCCTGCATATTGGAATCCTATCAAAAGAAATTCATTTTAATTTTTCCATATTCTAAGGATGTGTTCAAGAAGAAACAAAAGAAAAGAACACGAAGAAGATATATTGCTATCATCACTATCCAAACAGTGAGCCCAGAGCCAGATCATCTATTTCCAATTACACTCTCTGAGTTTCTTCAAGGTGATAATTAATTAGTTTAGCTAGGCTGTCTATTGATTTTATTTGGAATTCTGTATTTTTAATTTCTGTCTCTTTCTTTCCCATGTTTCCCTTTAGTAGACTCATTTTTGCATCTAGAGAATTGCTTCCTTGGTTTAATAAGAAAAATTATCATGACAATTTTTTCCACATGCAAGACTATAATATTGCAATTGCCTCTTGTGTTCCAAGATTGGTAAAACATTTGTTAAGAGGTTTAGCCAGGATAACTCATATTAGCTTTCTATTTTCTATATGACTAAGTCAAATGGAAAATTCCTGATGGAAGAGTTAAGACTGCCTTATATAAATTATGAGGAATCAAAAGTTCAGCCTACTAGTATTCTAAGTTTCTTTTAAGGTAGAAACTTGGGAAGAAGGGAGATTTTAAATTATCTGCTCTCCCTAGCCAACTGAGCAAGATACAACAGTCATACACCACAGTTCATCAAACTATCCAGCAATCATGGTTTTGGAGCTGTGCTACTCAGTGAAGGAGGTAGCAGTCTAAGCAGGCTTCTCCTCTGATGCCAGTTTTTTTACTATGACCTAGAGTGGCAGACGAAACAAACTAATGCCTGGATATATGTGCTACAAAAAACCCCACTCCACCACAATGGGATTTAGAGGTTCATTTAATTATTTAAACAAAACTCAGCAGATCATAGCAATATATGGATCAGTTTAAAATTCTAGATTATTTATTCAGATATTGTGTTTCTTCCATGTTCTGCTAAAAGTCTTATAGCTATCGATACTAAAACCACAAATAGCCCTACTTGTGATATAAATACTTACAGAGAGGTCGACTTCGACATTTCCTGATCATGCGTACTTTTTCTGCAACTGAATGCTGCAAAAGAGAATAGAAAGGGGAAAGAACACATCTAAATTTTGATTGTACAAAATAATATTGATCATTTTTCATTAGTAAACAACTGAAGTTCGTAACCAGAAAGTAAATGCATATTGAAGTTGCACTGTTTTTCCATTTTCACAGAGGAAGTTTGTTTGTTGGTTACCTATCCCTCACACATCTGATAAACCTTTTTTTGAAGAAGGTGGTTGGATCCAGGAGGTGATTGGGAACTAAAGAGAACAAATTATCTAAGCCCTTTTCATTGAAGTTTTGAGCCAGTGTTTAATACAGTATAAAAATCACACTTGTAGATGAGCTGGTGGAATTAAGTTGAGGAGGGCCAACCATCCTAAATTTTCTTGCTCTTTCAGTAGCTTTCAATAACATAGATCATAGTATTGTTCTGCAGAGAATGGGAAACATAGTGTTATGGTGATTCTCCTCCTTTATCCATGGCCAGTTTCAGAAATGAAGTTGATGGGAAGAGAATAGTCAAGCCCATGATCTATGGGAAGTCATAGGGCTCATCATTCTTATTCCTTTTATTTAACATCTAAGTAGAGCTGCTAGGTTAGGCCATCTGCTGTTTTGGGTCAATATTATCCATATGCTGATTTGGCCAGCCTTGGTGAGGGCATATATGCTGATGATGTTGTCATACATCCCCTAACTGGGCTGGCCAAATGATGTTGTTGAAGTCTTCCCAATATCTGAAGGCTGTGAGAGTTTTGTGCATAATCTCAGGGTCCTCCTGGACTCAAGGATCTGCTTGAAGAACAGATGGCAGCTTTGGCCAGGAGAACCTTCACATTGGGTGAATCAATTATACCTTTGTGAATAGGAGTCCTTTCTTACAATCCTCATGGCTTGGTGATCTCAAATTGGATTCTGCAGTGCACTATATATGGGACTACCCTTGAAAACAATTCATAAATTACAGATGGTACAAAATATAGTGGCACAAGTGGTGGTAAGTCAGCCATGACATGCCTATACAACATTCATGCCCCTTGAACTACACTGGATATTCTTCAGCTTCTGGGTGACCTTTAAGGTTCTGGTTGATATTTTTAAAGATCTAGATGTCATAGGACAATGGTGGCTAACATTTTTGGGCTCCTGTGCCAAAAATTGTGTGCGCGCTTGCGTGCCAGCACCCAGAAGGCAATGTGCGCTCCCCACGCACCCTGCACATGCATGCGCAATCCCCCCCAACCCCCTTACCTGCACTGCACCTCAGCTGATTTTCAGCCCTTTTGGGGCCTTTTTCGGTCTCCCAATGGCTTGAGGGAAGCTTCTGCAGGCTTTGTAGGGCAAAAAAATGGGCCTGTTTCATTACTTCCATTATTTCCAGAAATACAGGAAGTGATGAAATGGCCCTATTTTTCAGCCTGCAAAAGCTTTCCTCAAGCCTCCAGAAGGCCGAAAAAAGCCTCAAAAAGGCTGAAAATCAGCTGTGAGGCATGTACATGCGCAGTGAGGTAAATTTGCCTGTGGCTCACGTGCTGGCACAAATGGCTCTGCGTGCCACCTGTAGCACCCGTGCCATAGATTCGCCATCACAGTCACAGAGCCTAGTTTTCTGTTTCCTGAGACTTCTGCCTGCCCTGTAAGATCTAGCAGACTTAGCTTATTCCTGATTTCATCAGTCAAGCATGTCATCTAGCAGGACCCAGGAAGTAGGCCTTCTCTGTTGGCAGGAGTTGCTGTCTACAATAGCATTCTTCCCGTGATTTGCATGAGTTCCACTTTATGTCCTTTTAAAAAAGTATTAAAAACAGCTCTTTCTCCAAGCCTTGGGTTAGGTTGATCAGTGGTGGCAGGAGCCTTTTATGTCTATTGTTGAGAAGAAATTTAATATACCTCCAGATACTGATATTTTTGGGGATTTATTTATTTATTTTATTACTATTTTTATATATTAAGCTGCTCAGAATTTTTAAATATAAATTAATCAATCCATTATTTTCAGTAGAGGTAAGATTCAAGGCCTATGAATAGTACAACGAAGCAAAGCCCTGTAATATATAAAGTATTATCTCTCACCCACAGAGGGATGCTGAATGGGATGCACTATTTCACCAGTAGAGGGAGGGTTCTATCAACATAATGAGAGTAGTCCTATTGACACCAGAATATCTATCATCTTATCTGTTGTTTGTTTAACATACAGCTAGCTTTGCTATCAGATTGAATTATTCTCATTTTCAGGATTCACTAGAAGATTTTGTTGAGAACCGTAACCAAGCAAGGATCGGCGAGACTTTAAATTACTAAACAAATCTTTTGTCATTGTATGTATGTGAAAAAAATAAGAGGAGAGGAGAATTGGTATATTTCTGCCTTGAGTTGTATATGAAAAAAGAGGGAATAAAATTTACATATATCAATTTACAGACTTTATTAAAAATGATTGCTGACCTTCTGCAACAAGAATCATATGAAATGCTCTTTCTTTTTTCCTAAAATTCCTGAAATGCCATCTAAGATACACGCTGTTAAAAATGGCCAAAAGCAAATTAAAAAAAAAAGATTACTGCTCCATATTCTGCTGAGCAAGTTCTTTTGAATAAACAAGCTCGCTGGAAATACGTTATATGAATAATTACAGAACTTTTCTTTTTAACAATTGGAAGAGATGAATGCCCAGCCTACAAGTAATTCTGCATTTCACACAATGCACATTTAGGCCAGAGGAAGAGGGTGAGGTCATTAGAATAACTATGGCTTCACTGACCAAGATGTAGCTTCATTTATCCTACCACCACTACCACCTCCGTCTCCTCTTCCCCAGAGACTAGAAAATCTGGGCCAACTCGGGCACTGAATACATCTCTCTCACACATGCACATTTGTTTCTTAACAAGGAGAACTGCAAGAGCTTCTGCAAAACTGTTGCCATGGTAACTCCACTGTCCCACTGAGCTAGGCACTGTACAGAAGACTCACCCCTAGATAATCTCCCCCGGGTAGGGGGGAGATGCAGGAGGGGAGGGGGCCTGAGCCCTCCCATCCTCCCACTGTCAAACTGCATTTGTTCAGCCTTGCTGGAGGCTAAAGTCAACCATTCCTACTCTTCCCCAGTCCTACAGCAGGGACCAAAATAACACTGAGTGTTTCTTGCAGCTTGTTACATCCTAGCCTGGTGAGCAGCCTCAGCAGGAAAGTCAGAAAAAGATGAGCTCTGAGGCAGAAAATTAGAACAGCTCTAGCCTCCAGCATCCATTTCTTCTTATGTCTTTGCAGAGAGAAAAAATGCTTTCGGACTTACTACGCAGCTGAACAATAAACCTGTATGCCTTTGGCCTGGGCTGGGGGTGGAAGGGATTTTTCTCTGGGTAAACTGTAAAGGGAATGGGCCTTCCTATTCCCTAAAACTCAGTCATCTCTGCTAGACCTTCATTTTCTCTTGCGCAACTTAAAAATATTTTGAAAGGCAATCCCCCCCGCCCCGATCTTCAGATGTCGCTTTGGACATCAAATGCTATGGGGGTGGGGTCACCATACTGAGCCAGCAATCTGTAAATCTGACCAGTGTGGCCTGGCATAAATACCAAGCCCCCACCCCCAGTCTTCCCTAGACCAGCCGAAAGAGCAAAGCCCTCTGCCCAAAGCATTTCTACTCCAGGTCAGGCTATTGACCTTGAGGATCCTGACACAGAGAATCATCCATAATGAGACAATTCCTACTTTGTCCCACATTGTCCCTGAAGCCCCTTGCTTGTTTGCTTGCTTCCTCTATTTTGCAATGGGAAAATTTCAGGGGGAATTATTAAACAATGTTCTTAAGGGTGAGATGCTACCATTCCAATGTTTAAATTTCCATTAGTGCTATAAATTAGCCTTTCTCAAGAGATAATGTTCCCCCCTATCTTTTTAGAAAAATAAAACTCTTTCTTCCATATATGCTCCACAGTTTTCCCCTACCCACCATTTTTCCCTTCACCTTCTTTCCCCAAAATAGTATAAGGTCTTAGAGCTTATGATGAATAAAAAATAGCAGGCAAAGAGTATAATTTGTGTTTAAAACTGGTGCTGTCATCTGTAATAATAAAAATAGTTTAATAATGGGGAAATTTGAATTTCAAATTATGAGATTTACTCTCCACCAAGAAATTTTTGGGAAAGTTTTGCTAAAATAAATACAAATCCATTACTTCTGCAGAAAATACTCCTGTTCGGGCATTATTACATCCAGGACACTCAGAGCAATACCTTCCTGCATGTATTGTTCCTTTAGCATAACAGGAAGAAAGGTTATATATGAAAACCAGTTTGGTGATGGCCTAGAAATTAGGACACTGAGTTTAGACCACTTTAGGCCTAATAGCTGGCTGGGAGACTGGCCTGTCACCTACTCTCAGCCAGTCCACTTCACAGGGTTATTGTAGTTACGGGACAAAAGAGGACAAGGAAGGAGTATTAGATATGTTTGCCACCTTGAGTTACTTATATGATATCTGGGGAGCCATTTCACCTTGATGGGAGTTTTGCCTCACTTGTTCTAGTGGAAAGGGCTACTTTGGATCTAAAAAAAATAATAATTGTGGAGGTCCAGAAGAAGAGCCTTTCAGCTGTGGCTCACACCTCTGAAATGTTCTCCTGTTGGAACTGTTAGATCCACCTCCACACTCTTGGCCTCCCAGAAGAGCTTGAAAACTTGGCTCTGTCACTTGGTCAGCGCCCGACAGAGCTCTGCCACGTTGAAATGGCCGCTGAATGGGTAGAGAAGATTCCCAAGATTGCCCACTGTACTAGTTTTTAGCTTTTTTCTTTAATTCCTCTCATTATAATTGTCTTGTAGGATTTCCCCACTTTTTATCATATTGTAAACTGCCCAGAGTCGCTGTATCAGTGAAATGGAAAGCAAAAAAAACAAAACAACAACAAATAAATAAATAAAAATGAAGGCAGGATAAAAATATATTAATACATTTAATATATATAATGAACTGAAGACTCACTTATGCCTAGCTGTGGATGCAACTATACACATGTGAGTTTCCATATCAGGGGAAAAATCTGCATTATAGGCCATCCCCTGCTTTGTCCCTGCAGCTGCAGGGAACAGGCAATGGTTATAGGAAGCTGATGTCATTTCAGAGATATCAGTAGGGGATAGGATTCAACCAGTACGCTCACATGGTAAGTGTTTTATGTTGAAGAGTGCCTGAATGGAGCTAATTCAAGAGGCCATCTGTGCACAGCCCAACCTCTTTTCTTTCCCCAATTGCAAAGGCTGAAACCTAGGCGTCACACTAGGACTGAAGGAAAAGAGGCACAGGAAATCTATACATAAATGCATAATCACCACCTATGCTTAGTCACCACCTTCTGCACTGTCTCCTATGTCACTTGTTATAACTGTGAAATGTTTCTTCTGAACTGTTCAGCATTGTAGGTTAATATTTTTAATTATATCTTAAAGCAAATGAACAAAAATATTTTTATAATAGTGTATAGAGATTATTGCAAAATAAATGAGTATAATATAGAGCAGCACCTAAGTTTTTTCTTAGCTATATGTGAAGATGGGTGTGTGTTTGTATCTGTGAAGGAGAGAAATCACACAAGTGATGTCTGGTGTAATAACGAAGTTGCAAATGCATCACAGCTTTGAATGTGAGCTCTTGGAAGAAACATAGCTTGGTGACAAAACATCTGTTTTAATGGAAAATGTTTTGAGATCACATTTCGCATAGGACTAAAAATCTTATCCTCACCTGAAAAAACATTGACAGTCATGTTGATAATTCCAGTCTAAACAGACCAGTGATAAGTCAGATTATAAACCTGAAATGTCTTTCATTTTTCTTTCCTGGATGCTAAAATAAGTGAAATAGTTTTGCCCCAGTAAAAAATTGAAACAGGTTTTAATTTGAAGGCACTTTATTCCAAAGAATTAGCTGAAAGAAATATCCCTGTTTAAATGATTCCAAAGCTTATAGATCCAGAATCAGAAATTTCCCAGCAACGTTTTGCAGGTAAGAAAAGCCTAGCCTTTCCCTTCAGAAGTCCCTTTTATAGATTGGGCTGGGAGAAAAGGCACTTAGAAATAAAACATTTATCTTTGTCTTACCTGTCACTTCATCCTAGTTGAGTGCATAAGAAAGTTCCACATAATTAAGGTATCAGTGTACCTGCCAGTGGCAGCAACACTGTGAGAAAACTAGCACAAATTTGGCAAGAAATAGACACAACAATCTTGCAGGTGCTTTTTTCATATTTATCATGGAGGCAAATTAATTTCATCAAGTGAGAGTGCCAAATCAGGCAGCATCTTTTTTGGCCTTTCATTGTATACAGTTTTTATAGTCTCACAAATGGCAAATCATCTAGAACTGCAACCAGACATTTAGCCCACTTTAGAAAGCAAATGTCTCTTACATGCATTCACCCTGCTGATGTTACAACCATCTGAATTAATATATCATTTTACAATTTTTCTGATGCTTAAAATTGCATTTCCTTATGGAGACTAATTTTTGTTTTAAGGACCCCCCTGAAAGAAGATGGGTTAGACCAGGGATCCCCAACCCCCAATCTGTGGACCGGCATCAGGCTGTGGCATGCCAGAAACAAGACTGTGCAAACAAGTGAAGCCCCATCCACAGGTTGCAGGCAGCCTGCAAAACTAAGCCCCCTCCAGTCCATGGAAAAACCTCTCTCCATGGCACCAATCCCTAGTTGGGAGCATTGAACAAACCTTAGATTTATTCCCTTTTTATTACATAATTATTCCCATTTTGTAAACTGGGAAATTAAAGTCACTATGAAGTACACAGTAAAGAAAACTGAGAATTATTTGATACATATTCTTACCAGCTTCTCTACATTGATTAATCCATCCACTAAGGTTTTGCTAGCTTCATGCAAAAATGTCAAGTCTGAAAAGAGGGGAAAAAGAGGAAAAGTAAATTGAGAGAAGGATGAAAAGCAACAATTTCTAACATCTAGAAAGATATGGCTACCAAGCAAATAATCCTTTTCTGCTGCAATTGGAATAGAATATAGCAAGTTAGAAGAAAACCCTCTATTTATGCTCCAAGGCAAATTTAAGTATTAATTTTGCTAATAGCTCAGTGTCTGTTATTTTCATGGAATTATATGCACGTATAAGAAAAACATCAAAAGCATCTGAGTAGGGATGTGAAACTTGCTATTTCCAGGAGACTGTATCAGTTTTGGAAAACAAGTTTTTGTCTTTAAAACACTATCACAAATAGTTTTTCTCAAGAATGGGTTGAAAATATTCATATACATAGGAGAAAAATAATAGTTTTATTGATAACTAAAATAACATTAAACTTTTTCCTGAATAAATTCTGCTTCTTGAACATTCTTGAGCCTCAGTGGCTAGAGTGCAGTACTGCAAGCTACTCCTACTGCAATTTGACAGATCGAATCCCACCAGGCTCAAGGTTGACTCAGCCTTCCATCCTTCTGAGGTGGGTAAAATGAGGACCCAAACTGTTGGGGGCAATAGGCTGACTCTATAAACTGCTTTGAGAGAGCTGTAAAGCACTATAAAGCTGTATATAAGTCTAAGTGCTATGCTATTGCCATCTTGGGAGTAACTAAGTACTCTGTAGATGTGTTCAATCCACAATCTTAAAGTTGCCAAGGTGGGATATCCCTGGCCCGGACTGATTAAAGAGGGAAACCACAAGGCTAAATCTCTCCCCGGACAAACTGAAAAACATTTTTTTTAATAGGGCAGAAAAGCACAATAGTAAATTGCTTCTGTGCTAGGAGAAAGACAAGCTGAGGATGACATCATCCAGTCAAGTTCTGTCAATATGAACCAGTTAGTAAATTTTGCAGAACAATCCTGAGACAGTTTTGCACACATTCCAGTTTGAGAAAAGCAAAGACTCCATATCCATAAAGTACTACTAACCTTTTAGGATGAGGGGCACAAAGGGGATAATGGGTGGTTTCATCCTAGACAGAACTTCTCTGTAGCTTTTATGATTCCTACAGGGATCCTGAAATGCAAAAAAGAAATGAAAAACTCAATATTTTCTGAGATAAAAGCAGAGACAGAATCAACTGCAGCCATTCCCCCACCCCCATTTTTAGTTAAATTACAGAGCCATGGATATATCCAATTAAATGTGTTAAATATGAATCCTTATGAGGCTAGGAGGTTCAAAATCATTCCAATCATCACAAAGACTGTTTGAACTATGCAGAATTACTTTGAAAGAGCAAAGAAAAAAGAGAAGGGAAAAATCTCTTCTTTAAAAATGTGGACCTTCAGGATGAAAAACCGTATCTAGCAGTAGTTTTTTTTCCCAAAATTTTATATCAAAATGTTAAAAGAGATTCCAGGCAACATTTTTGGCGTATACTTATTTCATGCTAGCTGACAGCAAAAATCTACAAATATTAAAAAATCTGGCATAGCTCAGTTGATGATATTAAAATCATGGGTCTGTTTTTCATATAAAATGTTACAACCAATTGTTCTAAAAGATCCTCAGTAAGCTTTCAAGAAAACTAGGAGACTACCTAGGACACTGTTAAACACTGTATTAAGAAAAGAAACAAATCAATGACTGCTAAAAAAAACATTAGAAGAGAGGGTTTGCAGCATCTAAACTGAGCTTATCAGTGGGAAAAGGTTTATCTTAATTTAAGGCTGATAATAAAGGAGGATTAAAATAAAATAATAAAATATTTGAACTAGATGCTCTTGTGCTTGCATTGCACACTTTTAGTTCCTTTTAGTCACCACTTTTTACCAACTCTTTTTAAAAGCAAATATGAATGATTTACCGTGAGGTTTTCAAATTTACGAAACAAGTTTTTAAATTTGCCTGGAAGCTTCTGGAAGAAAAACAAACAGAGTGATAATCAGAGATATAAACATTTCTAAATGGATAAGGTGTTTTAAAAGCAATCCATTCAAAGCAGAGTTTGTCCTGTTCAATCTGTCTTCAGTGAAGGATGTGGGCTAATCTATCCAGACAAAAGGCTGCTAAGCGCTGTGGAAAACTTGCAGATGTTGACTGAAAGTAAATTGAGCAAGCTACAATTTAAAGAGGAGGAAGGCGTGTCTACCAACATTTTCCCTTCCAACTGTTTTGACAAAAAATAAAGATTTCTCCATGAGAAGGTAATGTGTCAGAAGTGCCCCAGTATAGAAGCTATGTATAGCTTCTGAGAAACATCTGATATTTTGGAGGAAAACAAATGACCACAATGAGGTTTACAATAATCCCTGGTTTAATGGAATTCCTTGTAAAATGAAGAGTGAAGCACAAACTCATCTCCTAATTTTCAGGCATTAGGTAGATAACCCTTTGAGACTTCATATAAGGGAAAGTAGTTAAACGGGCAAACCTGTTTAAAAATTTAAACTGATAATTTATGCTGTTTTCTAATGTTTTAGATCAGCTTTTTCAATGAATGTTAGACTGCATCTTACAACTAGAACCATCTAACATGGCCAGTTGTCTAGCAAGGACCATAAGAGAACTTGAGGAACCATCTCACCCTGAAGGGACTGGCCCACCCCACCCATGCTGGCAGAGGGGGCTGTCAGTCAGCATACTCAGAGGGGGCTGTCAGTCAAGAAACTTTGGTTGGTGGGGCCCAGGAGAAGAACCTTCTCTCCTGCGGCTCCTGCCTTTTGGAATATCTTACCCTCTGAAGTGAGATCAGCTCCCATCCTTCTGACCTCCTGCAAGAGCCTTAAGACCTAGTTCTGCCAGATGGCTTGGGCCCCAATAGGCTTCACACCAGAGATGGTTGATTAATTAAGAGCTAATCCCCCCTCATGCATCCAGCTCCCTACTCCATCTTGTCACAATAATTTTATTTTGTTTATATTATAATTTTATTGGTTTGGAATATTTGTATTTGATGATTTTAACGTGTTTTTAAGGTATAAGCCACTCAGTTGCTTTAAAATGAGATGGGTGGCAAATAAATTTAATAAGATAATAATAAGAGAACAAGTAGATCCAGGGGTGGGATTCTACCAGTTCAGACCAGTTCAGGTGAACCGGATGTTACATTTTCTTCTGGTTCACTGAACATTTCAACTGACCAGCTGGCCCCGCACACTGTGTCCCTCCCATCCCAGGAGTCTCCACACGATGCAGGGTCTGTGCAGAGACTCTGGGAGGGGAAAAATTGGGCCTTCTGGAAGTCTGAAAATGGGCCTGTTTCTGGCTTCCGGTGGGCCTCCAGAGCCCGGAGGAGGCCATTTTTGCCCTCCCAGAGGCCCAGGGGAGATCTCTTGACCCTTGGGAAGGCAAAAACGGCCCTCCTGGAAGTACCGGTAGACAGCGAACTGGTTGCTGGAATTTTTGAATCCCACCCCTGAGCAGATCTCTTCAGGTGCAGCAACCATTTTCAGGTTCATTCAGTACATTTAGGACTGTATTTGGCTAACTAGTGTGTTAAATCTTGAGGGGTGGTAATTTAAGCCCACATGCATTACAAAATGGCTCCCAGCCTCTTTCAATATACAATGAGTGATACAAGTATACCGTTCCATCCTGAAATATGTTTTGAATGAATGTGACTCCTAAAGATATGTATGCCACATAATAATTACATAGAATAGAGGAACTGGTTCTTGGATCTGAGCTAGATCCATTGAATCCATTCATAAAATACTTTGAGAGGTAACATGCCTCTCATAGACATCAGTCAGGTTATATAACTGCCTTTCGAGGAATCATTTGGCATTTTATTCCCTCTATATGAGGAAGACCACTGTTAACTTATTCAATTAACAGTTAATAGCCTACAGCAGTATATCTCTACAGGGCTAACTTTAAGATGTGTGCATTTTGACTCCCAGAATTCTCCACCCAACATGCTACAGGAGTGTCGAGTTCTGTTATGTTCAGAACTGTTCCAGAAAATAGGACAAGAAAGAACTAGTTTATAAATTACAAGAAAATACCTTTTAGTTAGACATTAGGAAAATAATTCCCAATCTAAGAGCTTTCAACAATGGAACAGACTGCCATGAAAATGGTAAAATCTCATTTATTGGAGGTGTTTAACCGTTATGATTTGTTAGAGATGTTGTAATATAGATTCCTGCATTAGTCCAGGTATTGAACTAGATAATCTTCAAGATGCCTTTCAACACTTACATTCTATGAATCTATATATGTATGTGTATATTTCTATACAAAAAATGTGAGCTCATATGTCTGCATGTTACTCATCTGGTTTTGTTTTATATATGGTGGTGTAGTGGTTAGAGTGGAGTACTGCGGGCTACTTCTGCTGACTGCTGGCTGCTTGCAATATGGTAGTTCAAATCTCACCAGGCTCAAGGTTGACTCAGCCTTCCATCTTTCTGAGATGAATAAAATGAGGACCCAAATTGTTGGGGCAATATGCTGACTTTGTAAACTGCTTAGAAAGGGTTGTGAAGCACTATAAAGTGTTATACAAGTCTAAGTGCTATTGCTATTGCTATTAGGATTTAGATTTGATTTTAGAAAGAAGAACAGGGACTCACTAAAGGCCTGACAGATATTTTATCAAAACCATTGTGCATATTTATGTATTATGTCAATTAGCTATTATGAGTTGTAAACTATGGTGCATTAGGCAAACCATAGTTTAATGTAACATGGAATCAGATGACTGTATAGCCCAAAGATTAAGATACTAAACTTTGTAAAAATTGTATAAACCCAACATTTACTCAGAACTAAAAATTACAACAGTAAATCTTAAATAAGGAAACATCTACCATTAATGGTGAAATCCTACTTGCTGGAACCCTGTTATATTTGAGGACTCTTCATGAGGAAGAGTCCTCAGATAAAAAAACCTATTGCTGAGTTTTCTGGATCATAGATGCTTCTTGTTTGCATCTCTGCTTGATGCCAACACAGTCTGATGCCAAAGATTATTTGAAATTATAGGAGGAGCCCAGCTATTAAAAACTATGTGTATCCCCAATTCCTGATAAACAGGAAAAGTGGCTCTTGCAAAACAGCCAAAAGGAACATTGTGAACGTAATGAACAACTTAGTGTCTGTATTTCTCTGTCATCCTAGGAGTTCCTAGGGGAAGATGAATTCAACATTCATTATATCGCAACTGTGAATCTTTCAACATGTAGTATCTTACAGCAGATAATTAAGGAATCTCAGTTTTCCATTCTATTGCTGTAACAAGTTTTTTTTTACCTGATTTTCAGAAAGTGTAAGAAAAATAATGAATTCTGGACTAGTCTTTTGATATCCTTACATTCCTTTTTTGCAATTACCTGTAGCCACAGGGGAAGGAGCATTAAAACAGTGATTCCATGCAGCACTTAATATAAAACTACTTAATGCAGCAAGCTCTTCCTTAAAGTCAGCATTATTCTACCATATTTACTTGGAAACAAGTATTATCCTCAGAAGAGACATCCAATTTTTATTAAAAGCTTTCTTTGCAGCTTTAGCTACTTTTCCTGTTTCCTGCTGAACCTCTTTGCCTCATTTTTTATTGCTATGAAGTGAGGTTTAGCTTTCATTCTTTATTTTCTTTCAAGATTTACCAAGCGAAACAAGGACAATTAAGGAGTATTTATCAGGTCTGCCAAGTAACACACTTTCAGTTGTAAGCAGACAGCCTACAATGAAATAAAAACACATTTTAGATGCTAACAATAATGCTTTGCATATAAATAGACTGTTGACAGACACAGATTAAATATGAGCATGTTAAAGATATTAGTACTTTCTAGAAGTGCTAAAACTACATACTACAAACAAATATTAAAAAGTACAATATAATAATTATAAAACCAGTAACTCCTAGTAAATTTACAAAATCTGAGTAAACAAAAACATTTTCACTTGTGCAACTATTTGTACAAATCAAGCTCTTTTGCTGAATGGTTTCTCAAGCAAGGCACAGGACAGGCTGAAAATATAGAAAAAATTAAATGCAACTATTTATTACCAGCATTGTCTGGCTACCAAGTTAAAAAAGGTGCAAAGGATAGCAATAAGGTGTAGTAACCATCTTTTCCAACACTGCTGACTAATAGTTCACCCCATTTCTCATTACTGTGATCACTAAAGCAAGAACGAGAGCAAATATACGTGTCCCAGGATAATCCTGCAGGATCCAATTTGGGTCAGTCATCAGGACTAGAGGTCTTCTCTTCGAAGCTTTCAGACTCATGCTGGAGCCCAAATCAGAGAACTTTTCTCTATCTGGGCTCCAGCCCGAGTCCGAAAGTTCAGAAGACAAAACCTTTGTCCCAGTGACTGACCCAGATTGGATCCTGCAGTAAAGCAAGACTAACATATAATCAAAGCCATTTACTGCGGCTCCTCAAGATGGCATTAACACTCTTTTACTCAGTGTCTACCAAAATCTATGGTAACCATGCTAAGGAAAGAATACAGAAAACTTTATAAACCACAATTTTTCAAACTAGGCAAGATGTGTGGACTTCAAACCCCAGAATTTTCCATGTTGGCTAGAGAATTCTGGGAGTTGAATGGCACAAACAGGATTTTTTTTGAAGAGTCAGTGGAAATTGTGGAAACAACATTCCTGTAATCAATTTTAGCTGTACCTAGTAGGACATCAAATGCCCAATTGGGAATTGAGACAGGAATGCCTTAAATTCAGGTTAGGGCCTGGGAGATTATGATAATTTACTGGCTGAAAATTCAATACTTCCTAGCACAAAATGTAATCACTAAACTGGTAGTAACTCCAGTTGAATCCCACCTCTGATTAGATGGAATAAATGGGATGCCTGAAAAATCTAACTTTTCCTAAGAGCAGAATAGCACTTTTTAGGGCTAGATTTAATATTCTACCTGCAAAGCAGCTTTAATAAAACCCCCATAGCAGAATGAATATGTACATGTGGTAATAAGAAAGTTAAAAACATCTCACATATCTTATTACACTATAAATTCTACAGGGATATTAGACATATATCTTCCTCTATTAGAGATATTTCTAGGGAGGCAGATCATTTCTATATGAACCATCTTCTCCAACACTCCAGCCATTACACATACAATGGCCAAATTTTGTATTGCTGCAGAGATAAGGCAAAACTGGTTAAAGAAGTAAAGACTTTTATTTTTTATCAACATCTTGTTATTTGTTAATAATTTTTAAAAGACATATTTTAGTGTATAGTTTTAATATATTAGATCTATTAGTTAAATAAGTAAACATATTATTGTAATAGGGATGTTCAGAGTATCATATTTGATACATGCCAATATATAATTTACCTATTTCTGTCTGTTGATCCTGATTATATTTATCTTTCATCCCCCTTTTTATCATTTTATATTATTGGTCACTGACTGAATAAAATGAATGAATAAATGAATGATTGAAAAACTGGTTTTGAAGACCATGCATTGTAAAATTGTCGAGTCTGAAGAACACTATTATAAACAGACCTAATCTTAATTTTTCAAGTCCATTTTATAATCACTCTATAAAAGGGGGTTAGAATCTGGGTCATATGGCCAGGAAGGGGTAGGAGTATAGAATGGAGGAGTCAGGAACATTCTAAATCACATGCTGTCCATATGCTTGGACCATTGAAATACTTTGAGGGAACTTTTCAGGATCATTTTTCTCCTGTAATACCACACCAGGCCTTTGTGTACCAAACTCAGTCTTTCTTTTGTGGGCTATTTTTCCCACCCTGAATTTGGATTTTTGTATTCAGTTTTGGAAGCCTTACCTTCTTGATGGCATTGTGACCCTTTTTACCAGTTTTTGCCCAACATTGGGTTGGAAATAAAAGATAAAATTCATACTTCACAGAGGTGGAAAGAAAGCACTAGAAGCAACTAGTTACCTTGCTTTTTTCTGCGGTATCAGCCATCCTGGTTTATCAAAATGGTTAAAAATGCATACCTCAAAATATTAGTATGTAGTACATTAGTAAATATTAGATATAAATATGCAGGGTAGATAAACAAATCTTATATATTGATTGAGTGATTGATTTGTATCACTCAGTCTCTGGGATATTTCTAGGCTAAATTAATATAAATACGTAGGTAGATATTGGAAAAGAAATAATAGAATGAGCTGGAAGGGACCTTGGAGGTCTTCTAGTCCAGCCCGCTGCTCAAGCAGGAGCCCTATTCGATTTCAGATAAGTATCTGTCTAGTCTTTTAAAAACTTCCAGTGTTGGAGTACCCACGATTTCTGAAGGCAAGCTGTTCCACTGATTAATTGTCCTCACTGTTAGGAAGTTTCTCCTTAATTCCAGGTTGCTTCTCTCCTTGATTAGTTTCCGTCCATTGTTTCTTGTCCTGCCCTCTGCAGCTTTGGAGAATAATTTGACCCCCTCTTCTTGGTGGCAGCCCCTCAAATACTGAAATACTGCTATCATGTCACCCCTAATTCTTCTTCTCTTTAGACTAGCCAAACCCAAACCCTGCAGCCATTCTTCATATGGTTTAGTCTCCAGACCTTTGATCATCTTAATTGCTTTTCTCTGAATTTTTCCCAAAGTCTCAACATCTTTTTTGTCAGTATGGTGAACAAAATTGGCTGCAGTATTCCAGGTGGAGTCTTGGTTTATATCTTGGTTTGCAACCCAGTCCTCACAGCTTTATTCAGAAGCAAGTTCCGTGGAATACATTGGGATATACTTTGTTGTTTCTTGGAAACTCCATGAAATTCCTTTATGAGTTCAAGCATTATCTAAGCAAAGGATGAATGACTGCTTCTTTGATACACCTGGATCTCCCCTCTCAGAGAAACTTGTTTCCTGATTCTTAGGAGTAATTATTATATTTTTGTTTTGCTTTTCATGTATTACAACCAGATAAGCTGGTTTTCATATATCACAACAAGTCCCAAAGAACTTGGTTTGATTCTGGCTTGCTATATTGTGCACAATCAGCTCCTGCAGCCTGCACTAAATCATAAACTATAGTTTAAAAAATAAAAACCATGGTTGCAGTAAATCATGACAAGAAGTGAACCACTGCTAAAAGGCCTTTTAGTGATGAATTGAAGTGTTATTTAAGCATTCTGAATTTGCAAAAAATTATACCAGCATCATGAAATTTGCTCTTGTTATTATTGACTCTGATCCTGCTTTCAAGTCACTGGAATTACTTACTTTTTTTTTAGAGTGATGAGTTAAAAAAAAAAGCCTAATAGATTTCATACCATGAAATTGACTTGGACAGTGCTGAAATGAGGAAAAATTTACTGTAATACATATATAATTACAATTCTCAATGAGATGAAGGCAATGTTCTAGACCCAGGAAATAGCACACAAAAAATGTTGCTAGAGAATCTTTATGACATGATTAGAGGCAAGCAAGCAAAGATTCCATAGAATGAACCAACTGAAATGAAGGAAATACTTCAGATTTGTCCAACTGAAATGCATTGTCATAATGAATTATGGATCTAATCTGGATCTAATGACCAGTAATTTTTAATTGTTTTTAGGATGATAATGGTACAATGAGAATTTGTCAGGATACATTTAAATTTTAAAACTTTATACTACACATCCTTGGCCATTTGAAATATTTTAGAAATATAAAAATTTAACTGCAAATTTGGGTGACAAAATAGTGCGTATAAGAGAAAAAGAGATAACTGAGATTACAAATACATAAAAATCAGTTTCTCTTCATCATCATCTTACCTCCCAGGTGAGGCGTAAACGACTGACAGGTGCATTGTTCAATCCTATAACCACAGCATAGAATGTTAGCATGTCCTGATGCTGTTTACATCTATGGGGAGAAAATAAAAAGAATCAAACCAGAATAATATTAAAACTAAACAGTTTCAAATGATTGTACCACCCCTGCTCTTAATTTAATTTAGTCTGATATCAGTAAGTAAAATAGGAGAAGCCATCTTGGCTGCTATCATAGCCCCCTTGTATCTATCACCTTACTACTTATATGCATAAGACATAGTGCCCCTTAAATCTTTATTACCTTAATTGCAGTCAAATGTTCTGCCCTGTTTCACTCTCGAGTACCATTTGGAAAAGGCGGAGAATGAGATGAAGAGGGGAAAAAATGGTGTGGCCTAAATTTGTGAACAGTCAAACTTCTTGTCCTTGTTCCTGGATGCCGGAAGAGAGGAGCTCATCTTAACACAAAATGATGCCATCATTCCTTACACTGTCCACACTACCAAGGGCTGTTTTGCCTCAATACAAGTGTTAAGTCGCAGGAAAAAAGAGACTTGAGACCAGTGTGACTTTCAGCTCTTTATTTAGTTCTCAGAATCTGCTCTAACCGCAGAGCCGCGGCAGCCTCTTTTATAGCGGCTGCTCATGGCTCGCGGCCAATGATGGCTCCTTGAATCTCCCACCATCCAGGTGGACCAATCACAAGGTAGCAATACGGGCCAATCAGAATAGGGTAATTGGACCAATCAGTAGGCAGTATTACAAGTATGCTAATATAGAACACCCCTCCTCTCTTGGTTTAGTCCAACCTACGTTACCTAGTCATGTAAGTAGGCGGGGCTTTTATGGTGTCTATTTGACTTGCGCAACTCAGTTGCGTTGTTGTCTTCAGCTGGTTCATACAGGATCACTGTTTCTCCCGTCCTTCTCCGTGGAACCTCCTGGAAGGGTGAGTCAGCCATGCCGCTCCCGCCTGGTCTACCCGGGCTGGTTGAGTCAGCCATGCCGCTCCCACCTGGTCTACCCGGGCTGGTTGAGTCGGCTCGGCTGCTCCCTTCCAGAGTGACTTCGTGTTGGCTCTCCGCTGCCTGCTCCTTTCTACCGAAGTCACCTCCAAGTAAGTAATTGTGGCTTCTTACTGGGGCTACTGGTGGTGTTGGTTGGCGGTTTATTGTTGGAGTTGGTTGTGTTGTTTCTTGTGTTAGTGGAGGGTTCCCCCCTCCCCTTTTATTTGCGTTTGAGGGGTCTCCCCCCTCTCTGGTTTGGTTATTATTATTTTTTAATGTTTGCTGTGGTTCTGGCGTGTGTGTGTGTTCTTCTCCTTCTCACCTAGGTTTGTTAGTGTTTCTTTCTAGTGTTCGTGATCTCAGTTGATCTATATGTCTCCTCCAGTTTCTTCCATCCTCAGGCTCTAGTCTGTATGATCGGGGTCCTGTTATCTGTGTTATTTTAGCCGGTATCCAAAGTGGGTCCCCCGTGAGATTTTTTGCGTAGATGAGGTCCCCCCGTTCCGAATGTGCAGTGCCTACTGGAGGAGTCTGGTGGTTTTTCAGGGCTGTATGTGGGGTGTAGCCTATCTAGGTGCGATCTTAATTTTCTGCCCATCAATAGTTCTGCTGGGCTTTTATTTGTTGTGGTGTTAGGTGTGATGTGTTGTATGGTTAGCATTTTGCAGATTTTTTCTTGGATGTCCCCCGTGTCTAGTTTCTCTATGGTCTCTTTCATATACTGAACCATGCGTTCCGCCCGACTGTTCATAGCCGGCCGACCCAGCACTGTCAGGGCATGCCTTATGCCCTGTTCGGCGAGGAACTTTTCAAATGTCAATGCTGTGAATTGCAGCCCGTTGTCTAAAACCAATAGATCCAGCAACCCATGTGTGGCGAACAGCTTCCTCAGCTGTCTGATGATGGCCTCTGTTGTTGTGGAGTTCATAGCACTTGCCTCCAACCAATTTGAGTAAGCGTCCACTATTATTAAAAATGTGTGTCCTTTTGTTGGGCCTGCAAAATCTATGTGTATCCTCGATCAGGGCCTCCTTGGCATTTCCCAGTTGAGCACAGGTGCACCAGGGGGTGTGGGTCTGGATTTTTGGCATTGTGTGCATGTTCCCACCCATTTCTCAAAATCCTTGTCCATCCCTGGCCACCATACATAACTCCTGGCCAGGGCTTTCATTCTTACGATACCCGGGTATCCTTCATGCAATATATTCATTACTTGTTCCTGAAGTATTTCTGGTATGATTACCTGATCCCCCCACAGTATGCAACCTTTCAAAACTGAGAGCTCTGTTTGTCTGATTCGGAACAATTTAAAAGTCTCGTCCGTATCGGTTTCTGGCCACCCTTTTCCTACCCAGTTTAAAATCCACGCCAGTCTTTTTTCTCTTGCAGTTTCTTTCGCGATGTCCACCGTGGTTATGGGTAGGTTTGGTAGAGTCTCGATTTGTAGTGTGGATGTGGTTGGTACCAGGTTGTCTTCCCGTTCAGGTAGGGGGGAACAGCTCAAGGCATCGGCATGTGATATGCTCTTCCCTGGCTGGTGGATTAATTTGTAGCTATAGGCAGCAAGGAACTCGGACCACCTTGTCATCCATGGTGACAATATGTTTGGGGTGGCCTTGTCCCCTGCGAGTATCCCGAAGAGTGGTTTGTGATCTGTAATGAGTGAGAAAGTCCTACCGTAGAGGTACTCATGGAATCTTTTGACTCCCGTGATCGCTGCCAGCGCCTCTCTGTCCAACTGGCTGTAATTTCTCTCTGCCTTGGACAGTGTTTTGGAGTAGAACGCGACCGGTGCTTCTCTCCCATCGGATAGTGTGTGGCTGAGTATGGCTCCGACGCCGAAAGGTGATGTGTCGCGGGTGACTGTCAGAGGCAAGGTGTCGCTGTATTGCATTAGCACAGATTCGGATGTCAGCAAATCTTTAATTCCCCAGAATGCGGCTTCTTCTCATCGCCCACAGGTCCAGGTAGCTGTCTTATCCAGCAATCTGTTTAATGGTTCCGCTGTCGTTGCCTTCTGTGGCAAAAAGACATTATAAAAGTTAATGAGTCCCAAAAATGCATGTAGTTATGTTTTGTTTTTTGGTCTGGGAGCTTCTTTGATAGCTTTGACTTTCTTTTCAGTGGGGTGGGTTCCTTCTTTATCTATTAGGTACCCCAGGAATTCAACTTTCTCGGTGGCTAGCTGGCATTTTTCTTTTTTTACTTTGAGTCCCGCCTCTTTAAATCTCTGTAAAACTTCCCTAAAGTGACTTTCCAATTGGTTTTTGTCCTTAGCTGATACCAGCACGTCATCGAAGTATGGCACCACCCCTTTGATTCCCTGTAATAGGTGCTCCATCAAGCTTTGGAACACCCCTGGGGCCACACTGACTCCAAATTGCAGCCTTTTGCATCTGAATGCCCCCCTGTGAGTCACAATGGTTTGTGCCACCGCTGTTTCGGGGTCGACTGCCAATTGCTGGTACGCTTGGGCAAGGTCGAGCTTCGCGAAGACTTTTCCTCCCTGCAATGAAGAAGGTGTTGTACCACTGGAACGGGGTATGCACTTTGTTGTAGCACGTGGTTGAGGGTGGCCTTATAGTCTCCGCAGATGCACACGGAACCATGTGGCTTTATCGGAGTCACAATTGGGGTTTCCCATTGTGCATGGTCTATTTGTTCCAATACCCCCTGTGCGATGAGCTTATCCAATTGCTCATCGATCTTCGGTTTTAGTGCGAAAGGGACTTGCCTTGCCTTTAACCTGATTGGAGCTATGTTCAGGTTTAAATGAAATGAAATAGGGGACCCTTGGCACTTGCCTAGTTTGCCATGGAACACATCCTGGAAGTCCCTCATCAGGCTCTCCTCCAGTCTGTCTCGGTGACACTGTTGATTCCAGTCACTCCGATTCCCAGAGGCGCGAACCATTCGAGCCCCAGTAGGCTTTGGCGATCCCGGTCCACGATCGTCAATGGCAGGATTGCCGAGTGCTTTTTGAATATTACCTGAAAGTGTCCGAGTCTGACTACGGGAATCCTGTTCCCTTGGTAGTCCTTCAAGGTCAGTCTTTGGCTCTCCAGTTCCTTTCTCCATATGCTTGGTATCAGGCACTGTAGTGTGTTCCATGATGCCATAGACAGGTATGAGCCAGAGTCCACCTCCATCTTGCATTGTTGGCCTTCGATGTTGACTTGCACGTGTACCTTTCGGGCATCGGATGCACTCAAATGCCCAATGGTTATCGTTTGGTGTGTCTCTTCCTTCCAGTAGGTTTTGTTGAGCTGTTTACTTCTGTTTTCTCGGCTCCAACGGCTCCCTGTCTGTCTTTCTCTGGTCCTGGGGGGGGTGCTGTCTCTTTGCCTAGGGCTGTAGCTCTTTTTATTACGGCAGACCCTAGTGATGTGTCCCCGTTTCTCGCAGTGCCGGCAAACAGCGTTGAGGAAATGACACTCGGAACGGGGCTGGTCACCTCTGCACCCGGCGCACTGGAACCCCAACTTACAGTCTCTCCTCTCCCGTCTGTTTTATTCTGACTGGAGTCTGTGTATTTCTTCTTCCTCGTCATTGGTCTCGGACAAGGATTCAATGTCCTCATGGTGCGTGGAGGTGGTGGTGGCCTTGTGGGTGCCCTCTGCTTTCTTCTCTTGGGCTTGTCTTGTCTCTGCTGGTGTTGCCGGGGTTGCCGTATTCATTAGCTGCATGGTGGCTGCTGATTTTTTTGCGGCTTCAGCGGCAGTGGCTTCGGCGATGGCTTTGGTGACTGTGATGTTTGGTCGGGTCAACAGTCGGCTCTGCAAAGTGAGATCTCTCAGTCTGAGGACCACACGGTCTCTCATGGCTTTGTTCATGTTGAGAAACTCACATGCACCTCCAATGTCCCTTACAGCTGCTACGAAATCCCTGATGCTCTCATCTTCTTTCTGGTCTCGTTTATAGAATTTGTGTCTCCGGATAAGGGGAGGGTTGGGGAGGGTTGGCGCGTAATGGGCTCTCAGTAGCCGGTTCAAATCTGGCCACACCATTTGTTTAATGTCCAGGGGTTTGGCCAACGTCTTGACCATTTTGAAGTCGGCAGGCCCACAGTGCGTCAGGAACACGGCTCTCTTCCTTTGATCGGTTATTTCCTGTAACTCATTGCTCTCGAGGAACATGAGGAATCTATCGATGTACGATTCCCAGTCCTCTGCCGTTGGGTCGAATGGTGCGGGTGGCAAGTTGCTGCCGTCATTTCGTCCGTTGCTCGTTGCTCGTTGCCACGTGCTTGACTGGTCTCCGTTGACTCAGTATCCCATCCTCGTCGCCAGTGTTAAGTTGCGGGGAAAAAGAGACTCAAGACCAGTGTGACTTTCAGCTCTTTATTTAGTTCTCAGAATCTGCTCTAAACGCGGAGCCACGACAGCCTCTTTTATAGCGGCTGCTCGTGGCTCGCAGCCAATGACGGCTCCTTGAATCTCCCGCTGTCCAGGTGGACCAATCACAAGGTAGCAATACGGGCCAATCAGAATAGGGTAATTGGACCAATCAGTAGGCAGTATCAGTGGACCAATCAGAAGGCAGTATTGCAAGTATGCTAATATAGAACAACAAGGCCAACAACTAATACTGCCTCATAGTTTTACGCTGGAGCAATATGAGATAAATGATTGGTGGATTTGTTTGTACTACTAGCCAGCAGAAAGAACTATTACCAATTGCTCTCCCTAAAGCAATGAAAATCCTGGTTCTGGTGTGTGTGTGTGTGTGTGTGTGTGTGTATGTGTGTGTTTCTGCATCATAAAGCAGATGGTAGTCTATTGGGCAGTTTGCCCAATATCAAGCATTGCTTTACGAGTAAAATCCCCACTTTGTATTAAATGATCCAGCCTGTTTGGATCTAGATCACCAAACATGTTCAAAACTTGTGAAACAGGATGATTTGAGACGGCAGAAAGTTCTCCTACTTTACCTCAGGCCTTCTGCCTCATGTGCCATCTATCAGGTAATTTTTCAATAAACGTCTCAGAGTTTTTCAAGAGACCACTGTACTGGTCAGGTAGCAAGGAAGGGAAAATAGTATTTAGAAGCCTGTTCTTTTTTACAAAGTAATTTGTGGCCCAGAAGAAAAAAGGGTAGTTTGGGATAGGGTGGTTCCTAAATACTACAAGCAAATAAATGCCTCCACTTTCTCTTGATATGCTTCCATGAAATCCATAGGATACAAACATCATCTGTAACCAAACCATAGCCTTTGCAAATCCAGGAATTTAGAGCACATCTATAACCTGAAAAATATCACTCAAGGCCATAATTTGTCACCCAGTGTGCTTCATAGCTGTGTTCAACCTTCTCCTCCTCCAGGCCTCAAGCCTTTCTGCTGCAACATCATCTCAACTAGTAAACAATCTGGGAAGGAAGCTCAGCTGTCATTGGGTATTAAAGCCAACTAGGACGGTGAAATAAGTTCAACCTTCCTAGCCATTAAAGGAACCATCAGAGAAGGGAAGTGGACTGACCATGCAGGGAAGAAGCAGAAAGGAACACAATGGTTGAACAGAACAAGAAAAGAGAAAAATGGAAAGCTAAGATTTCATAGTATATTCTACAGGCCTCTCAGAATTTCCATATTCTTATTTTACCGATTTCAAGACATTGGAATATATTTAATAAAGAGCTGGAATTTCTTTATGAACTTCCTGTAACTGCAGAGGAGAATGAACTGCCTGTAACCTTGTGAGGACTTAATTCACCCTCTCTTTGGGTCTGCTTGAAATTCAAAGAAGCTGAATATTTTCAGTTATCCCTCTTTTGAATTTTAAACCATTTCCCTTAACACAGCAACCAGAGCATCCGCATGTGTGTTTGTGTGTCAAAAAGTCCAGATGGCAGCACAACTGTGCAATTAAGCTCTGCTGTTGTTTACTTGCATCACCCATGCAACACATAAAAAAGGGCTTGGGGCTTTGAACATTTGGGAAGCATTAATTATCTCATGTCAAGTAACAGAAGGAGAACCATCATCATCAGTGACATTATGACTTTATTAAACGTAATCCCATTATGTAGAAAGGGCCAAAATATGGTACTCACACAGCAGCAATCTTGATGAATTTCTTCAGCAAGTGAGCCCGCTTTCCTAGAGATTCACAAAGTAATACTTCAGTGGCCACCCAGTGCTGAACTTCACTGCAGCGTTGTAGCAGTAATTCCAGATTGGCAGTCTCCCGGCGGCCACGTTCACCATGGAACACATAATCCACAAATTCTAGCTATAAAGAATTCAAAAAGGAAAGAGGATAACCAATGGGCTTTCTGAGACCCAGATTGAAGGCTTCACCCTGCAATCCTGGCGCCAAGCATCTCATATACATGAACTCCTTTCATTGATCAGTCTATATCACACATAACAAGGACAAAGAGGGTGGAAACAGAACTGGAGAAAAGATAAGGCTAAGTAAAGCTAAGTTGTTATATTGGATCAGTTCAACCTGTAAAATGGTAAAAGTCAAATGACTGAATATTCCTCTATACAGGCTATCCTTGACTTACAATTGATTGCTTAGTGACTACTATTCAGAATTACAGAATTTCCAGGAGTACTTATGACCTAGTTCTAAAGTTCAAATCCACAATCACATGACTGCATTTTGAGTGCTCAGCAACCAGGCCACATTTATGACCACTTGCTGCATCCCACAATTACTTGACTGCATTTTACAATGTTTTTTGCTGAAAACTGGTATTTACTTCCAGATTTCGGCAAAACTAGCCCATAGCAAACAACTGGTTCAATTAATTACCATGGAATTTGCTTAATGACCACCATATTTGTTTAACCACCAGTGCAAAACAAAGTAATAAAATATCAGTCACTCTTGATCTGTTATTGTAATGAGGGCAAATTTGCTAGCATTTCAGTGATGATTAGATGATGATATATGATCTTTTAAGCCTCTAGTTAAAAAACAGCAACCAATGTGTCAGAGAGCAAGCCTAATCTTTTCCCAAACCTTCAGTCATCAGAACATCCTGCTATTCTGAAGTGCAAAATATCAGTCAAGCTTTTCCATTTCTGAAAATTTATTTAAAAATCTAAGATTGGCAGACAACATAGTACTCCTTGCAAAGTTTGAATAGGTATATTGAGAAGCTCCCTCTACCTAAAGAAAGCTAGCATCTCAAGGGGAACACTCAGTACACTATAGAATTACACAGTGATAAGAATCTGAGGCATCTTTGAATGTATATTCAGCTCTCGTATGCTGACTGACATCATGAGGTGCCAGCAGTGGTGGGATTCAATTTTTTTTACTATCGGTTCTGTGAGTGTGGCTTGGTGGGCGTGGCAGGGGAAGGATACTGTAAAATCTCCAGTCAGAGATGGTATTCAACGGTTCTCTGAACTACTCAAAATTTCCACTACCGGTTCTCCAGAACTGGTCAGAACCTGCTGAATACCACCTCTAGGTGCCAGGGACCCAGTGTCCAAACATATCTGGAAGAGATCAAGTTAGGAAGGTTATATTTTGTTTGCTCACCTCATGGACACACCAGAACAGTTCCCAGTGGAAGGCTGTCAGGTGATTTGCTACATCCTCAGCTTCCATTCGGTGGATCTCTGTGTCACCTGGTGATACTTGGATTTCCTCTGGGAGAGGGACCTGCAGAAAAGGTCAAACTGATGGGTATGTTACCAGTAGAAGATCTGGGTATGTATGTGTGTGAATGTGTATCTTTCTATAAACATACATAAGGGGAAGGGAAGGGAGGGAGACATATTTACATATGTTGCAAGTTGGAGAGTAAAGATAAACTGTAAGCATGAACACAGCAACCACAAAGAGTCACAAAGCAAAAGCCATATTGACATGTCAAGGAGAGCAACATCCAAGGAAATTCACTTACCAGGGATGGAAAAGTATCCTTAGTACAGGCAAAAAGATGGCTGTTTATTCCCAAGGTAGTGAAAACACACTCTTCATTAGGCTGTAGCACAGATTTCTCTGATATTACGGGTGAAAATGATTGAAAATTACTGAATTATCTGGATTGGCATATAAATATCCTCCATAACATTTTTATTTTTTAAAAATAAGGTGAATGTAAGTTTATGTTCACATGAAGTCTATAAGTCTTCCTTTCAATTCATCATCCATCATGTGAACATACATTTTATGCTTCAATGTGTAGCTTTTTTGAGACATCTGGCATCAGTGGAGTTTCTCATAGTGCAATCACATCTGGAATGCCTAAGGTAAGATTTTCCAAAAAAAACCCAAACATTTGTCCTGTCTTGTGTATCTGAACACCCTTGGAGAGTTACAATTGCCTGGGCGTGGGACATCATTTATTAATATTACTTTATTTTTGGCTTTATACTTAAGTGTTGAGACGTTCCCAGTCTTTAAAACCAAATTCTAGGCAGGAGGACTTTCACTCATTAACCCATCCACAAAGCAGAAAAGGGAACAACATACAACAGAACGATCTTCTATTTCACTTTGTTATTATGTATGTTGACAGCAGCAAGACTATTGTATGCACAAAATTGGAAAGATACTTCGATTCTTACTATGAACGAGTGGTTGTAGAAGTTGATGGGAGTTGGCTGAAATGGCAAAATTGATTACTCTGATTAAAGAAAAGGACATAAGGTACTTTTGTTTCCACATGGAGACCACTTCTGAATTTTGTGTTTGAAGTGGAAAAGAATGAAAGCTTGATTTTGGGTTTTACCAAGTGGACTGATAGATCTTTATAGAAATGGCTTGTTCATATTATTATGAAAAAGCAAAAGTTGGGATTTGATGTTACTGCAACAGAGGGAGTCGGAAGTCAATGCTTCTTTTTCTTTTTTCTTATCCTTCCTCACTTCTCTTCCCCCTTTTCCTCTGCAGTGCTTTTCTATTTACTTTTGTATTTTACAATATTTTATAACTCAATAAAATGTTAAACGGGAGAAAAGAACTAACTTCTATTTTAACTTACATTATAGAATAAATTAATTATTCATGAATTCACTACTCTGTTTTACTTTTGCTGCACTTATGGACATTCCCTGCATATTATGTGACTCCAGGCACTAGGTAAGTCTACTACCTTCTTCTTAGGTCTCATTCTGGTGCGACAAACAAGAAAATCTAAATGTGGTTCATTTTGACCAGGAGCAAAATGAACCTGAAGTTTTTGAGTTTCAAGATTGCGGAAGGATAATCCAAACCAGAGTGGTGTCACTATCACTCTTCCTGAAGAACAGATACCTCCTGATGATGCAACAGCCACCAGAATGAGAGCTTCCTCCCGTGTAGGCTGTTCATCAGAATATTGAAGTTTCTCGGTCACTGACATGAGGATGTCCTTCACAGAGGCTGAGAGGCGGCTGCGGATGGTGACATAGGAGTGGTCTGGCATATAAACTCGGCAGAAGACTAGAAAAAAGAGGAGACAACCAAACTGTTGAAACCTGGAATAGCAAGGGACCTCAATGAAGGCTTGAATCCTATCAGTGTCTCTGAGACTCTGGCCACAATTGGAGACTAAATGCAATCAAGCCAACATGTTGCATGTGGAAAAGCCTATAATGTTGGTCCTACAATATGGAAACGGCAAGAATAGTCAACACTGGTGGAATTCTGTTCCTTCTAGACAGATTAAGTTTCCTGGTTTCATCACTCATCTAGAAAACCGTATGTATGACAATGACAAGAATGATGTTTCCTTCCCCCTCTGATCCCTTAAATACAGACCTTGAGACATCACTCATGCCATCTCACATTAGACTTCTATAATTTGATTTGTGTGAGACTTTGAAATTTGAACTGGTGAAAAGCCCAACTTCTAACGCATCAGTGATACAGCATCAGTGTCCCTGTTTATTCCTGCCCCATTATTGTCTTACAAACCTAACTGAATGATTGCTGAGCTACTTTTAATTTTTAAAATCTTATGAACATCCAGACTTAAATTTTAGCTTGGCTCATTCCTATATTATCATGCCAAATTCTTATGCTGTAGTATGAAGAAAACTTGTTTCTGCTTCATTTGGCAGACCCTTTTCCTTCAAAGGCAGAGGAACTGGAGCCAGTGAAAAAGTGTTTTGTTGCAGTGTTTTCTAAACTTGGCAACTTAAAGATGTGTGGGCTTCGAATCCTGAGAATTTCTCAACCAGCAAGTTTGAAAAGCTCTACCTTAAACTAACTTGACTGCTTTTACTCTGCTTGTACCCTCCCCCGCTTTCTCTAATCTCTTATTTTGTGAACTTTGAAAAGGCTGCAATAGACAAAGCAGAAAAGGAGGCAGATGTCATTGTGACATTTTCCTTGGGAGACAACAGACCTAAATGGAAATGCACAAATTCCACCATAACAATAATTTTGAGAAAATGCCAAACCACATTCTAAATATTCCAAGTGGATATTCTGCTCTGCGAAAGTTGAATGGCAAATCCAGTCTAGTTTATTCAAGGGCTTGTGTGCATTTGTAAATTTTTGCCAATGGTTGGATGAAATTATATCACTATCCTTTTTCAGTTCCTATAAACAAAACTTCAATTTTATTCTCCTTTTCACCCCACTGCCAAGCATACTCTTCATTACTTACTTTCATCAGATCCACGGAAAGCAACCCGAGTTTGAAGACATGAATCAATGCGACGAAAATGTCTGAATAAAGGTTTGACCTGCTTGTTGGGTGGTTGGGTTTCTTCAGTCACTCTGTAGCCAGATGGCAAGATTTAGAAGCCAAAAGAGACAGTAACTACATCCTCCAAAATAGCTACGACTGATCCAATTCACTAAGCTACAAAGCATCCAATCACATTTTAAATTAGTATGTTATGCAAATTCAGCCAATGCGACAAGCATCTATGTCTCATTTCCTAATAGCAGCTTCAAGATCTGAATCTATGGTTATAGAAATTAAATCATGTAAACTAAGAAATAATTTATTCCCCATTAGAAATGGCAATGTTTAATCCTCTTCCTGGGACTAAGATGTTTCTGAAGTACGCAAGTACCCAATCAAGAGAGTTTTAAAAATGACAACCATAATAGCAGGTAGCCTGTGTAGCTCCTAAAGTAGAGGTGTTAAATGTAAATCCCTAGCCTCATTATTCAAGCCATTCCATTCTGGACCAGTTGGTTTCCAAATGATTTTCATGGGCAGCGGTCGCCAACCGGTGGGCCATGAGAAAATTTTGGTGGGCCACAGAGAAACCTCACCCCCAGAACACCCCCCCACCAAAGTAATTAATCCAGGCTGCACAGAAACACAAGGCTGCCCCACCCACATAGCCCACGGGAACCCTCCCCACCCACTCACTGCTTACCCGGTAAACTTGCCTGCTAAATTGCTATTTTTCTTTTTTCCAACCATCATCTGTTCTGCTGTGCCAGGAGATTTAGATTAGCTAGGAAGCAGGAGATGGTTGATTTCTTGCTTTCTAGCTAAGCACAGCCAAACCTCTCTTAGGACTGAAGGTTTGCTTGCAAGCAAATTCAGTGCAGACTCATGGCAAGCAAATTTGAGAGACTGAGCTAGCCGATGGCAGATAGATAGATAATTGAATGATTCTGTGAGCAACTCAATCTGCCTGCTTTGCCTGATTTTGGATAAAAGTTGCTCTTTTTTAAAAATAAAAACAATATTTACATGCATGGTGTGTTGTGAGTTAATTTTATGAGTTTGCTTGCAAGCAAATTTTATGTGTCAGACTGAGTAGCCAATGGCAGATAGATAGATCTCTGAATGAATCTGTGATTCTGTGAGCAACTCAATCTGCCTGCCTGCTTTGCCTGATTTTGGGTAAAAGTTGTTCTTTTTTTAGAAAAAAAAATCAATATTTTTTTCTAAAATATTTATAATATTTACATACAAGCCATGCCCAGCCAGTCACATGACTACCAAACCACACCCACAAATTAGGCCACGCCCAAAGAACCAGTTAGTGGTCCTTGGGATCTAAAATTATGAGTTTGGTGGTCCCTGAGGTCCAAAAGGTTGGTGACCCCTGGTTTAGACAAGGTACAAAGGTAATAGAGCTTTTCAATCCAGATAAGATTGTAACTAGCACAAAAATATAAGTGTGCAAAGGCCTTCCTAGCCACAGCTTTCCACCTGATCCTCAAATATGAGGTTAGAATCCAGGAAGATCCATATATTATGAATCACTATAACCCAGGATAGTTTAGCCACATTCAGAATAAAAAATGATATGAAAAGGATTCTATAACCATTGTTATGCTGCCTTACTTGGATTAAGCCCAAATGGGAACCAAAATTCCTCCATCCATGTTGCCATTTTTAACTTACTTGAGTTCCACTGTGTCCACAAGCTGATGTAACTTCAGGATTTCATCTTCCAGTTTGTGGTAGAGGGATTCATCTTTCATGATCAGCAAATACAGATCCTGAAAAAGAAGAGAAAGTTGCTTGGACCAAATAACATCAAACTGCCTAAGCAAATGAATAGCAACTACTGACCAACGGTATCCGGCTAGCCATGAAGACTTGTCTCCTTAGACATATGAAATAATGTTTAGAAAAACAATAATTGGGATCTTGTAATCCAGCCATATTCATTTCTTAATTAGTTCATTCTCATGAAAGCAGGGCAAGAAAAGATCTGCAATACCTTGATGACTTTGCCAGCCTTCTCTTCTTCTTGCAAAATCCCCTTGAATGTTTCAAGAAAGTGTAGTAAAATGATCAAAACTGCTCGTTTCCGGTGCACAGTCTCATCTTCTTTCCAGCATGGTGGGGATGGGATTGCTGATGCCATCATGAAGGTAGCAGAAGCAGGTTAAGGTAAACCCACAGCATGAAGTTTCAGGAAAGAATGAATAATTAAAAGGGAGAAAGTATTCCAAATGACAAGTCTGGGAATGAAGTGTAATCTGAACCCAGATAGTAATGAGAAAAAACAAAGGAATTTTGTATAACTAGCCTGTTGATCTTAATTTAATGTCTCAGTTTATATTGTATATATTCCAAATAATCACAAAACTGAAAAGACAAACAAAGATATAAAGTTCTGAATGTTAAATATGCATGATGCCAACCAAGGAGAAGTGGTCCTCGTACATGGGAAGATTCAACCTAAATTTGGAGGTGAACGGGATGCAGGCAGCATCCGACACAAAGAAGAAGGCTTTCTTTTTAATCTATTGCAATTCGGAACTCTATGAACTAGCTGAAGCCCTCATTGCAGATGAGCCAGCAAACATCTCCTGGGACCAGCTACAATGAGCATTGAAGGGGCATTTCGACCCTAACCCATCATACCTGGCAAACTGAAACGACTTCTACATCCGGAGCCAAAAGGAGGGAGAAAGCATAAATGAGGAGGGAGAAAGCCACGTTGAGGAGACTATCAAAAAACTGTAAATTCTCATACGTCGAAGAAATGATTCAGGACCAGCTAGTCCTCGGCTTCAGGGACTTAACCTTGCAGAAGAGACTGTTTGCAAGGGACGACGTCTCATTCAAGGAGGCCCTGGAAGAAGTGAAAGCTGCGGAAGCCTCTGACTGTTCGGCAGCCCGAGTCAAGGGCAGCAGCAAGGTCCACAGCACCCATGCTGTGAGGAGGGCACCGCGTAGTCCATCCCGCTCCGAAAGCAGCAACAGTGAAGAAGAAGATGTCCACTGGAACTGCCAAGGAAGCCAAGCCTTGAGGAGGCTGCAGAGGGAACCATCCCTGGTCTGCCTGCCATTTTAAGGAGACCATCTGCAGGTGGTGCAAGAGGAAAGGCCACATCACGGAAGTTTTCAGAGCCAGCCAACCAACAGACAAACAGAGCTGCAGGGCATACTCCCCAAACAGGCAATACAAGAGTCGGGAGACATCTGGTGTGAAATTCAAAAAACAAGATGGCACCCAGGAGGAAGAGACCCACCATACAATCGTGGGCTATGCACACACCCGCGTAGAACACACAGATACTTTTGAATCCAACAAGATCCTTACTAAGCTGAGGATTGATGGGACCCTGTGCCCGATGGAAGTTGATTCCGAGTCTTATATATCAATGATTTCCTGGGTGGCTCTCCAGAAGATCAACCCCCACATTAGCTGGAGCCAGCTGCAGCCACAACGAATAATAGTAAAGGATTACCAAGGCTGCAAAATATCAGTGCTGGGGAAGAAAACCTGCCACATGGAATCTGGAGACTTCCAGTGAACCCTGCCATTGACCATCATGGACCAAGATTTCCCCATCCTCCTAGGAAAAGAATGGTTCGCGCCGCTGCAGACCAGCCTCAGTGGCATCCACGCGACAGCGATGACCACAGCAAACAGCAGAAGTGACCTAGATGCTTTGGAGAGGGAATTCCAGAATGTTTCCAGCAGCGAATTGGGCAAGTATAAGGGGACCCCTATCAGTTTTAACCTCAACCCTAACATAGCCCCTGTCAGACTGAAGTCCTGGAGAGTCCCTTTTGCTCTGCGGTCCAAGGTTGACGAGCAACTAGGCAAGCTGGTAGCTCAAGGGGTCCTCAAACTGGTAGATCACTTGAGGTGGGAGACCCCTATAGTGACCCCTGTGAAGCCCGATGGGTCAGTCTGAATCTGTGCAGACTACAAGAGTACCCTGAACCTCTGGTGCAACAGAGCGCATATCCGGTGCCAGTGGTCCAGCACCTATTACATTCCTTGGGCTGGGGCAAGATTTTTGCTAAATTGGACCTAGAACAGGCGTACCAACAACTGCCTGTGGATGCAGCCACCACTGAAGCCCAAATGATTATGACCCACAAGGGCACATTCAAGTGCAATTGGCTGCAATTTGGGGTTAGCATAGCCCCCAGCCTATTCCAATGAACAATGGAAAGGCTGTTACAAGATTTGCCAAGTGTAGTCCCCTTTTTTGACGATGTAATAATCTCAGCCAGAGACAAACCCCAGCTAATGAAGAGGGTCCGAACAGTACTAGAATGATTCCAATAAGTGGGGCTTAAGTTAAAAAGGGACAAATGCTACATTGCAGTACCGAGTGTAGAGTTCTTAGGTTTCCTAATCGATGGGTCAGGCATCCAACCCATGGACAGCGAGATGAAAGCAATTAAGGAAGCCCCCGTCCACAGAGCAAAGCTGAACTTCAAGCTTTTATAACATATTTTTGCCACAGAAGGTGATGATAACGGAACCACTCCATAGACTGCTGGACAAAAATACAACCTGGAAGTGCCCCCCCCAAGACTAAAATAAAGAACATTTTAACATCAGACACCGTACTAATGCAATATAGTGAGACCCTGCCGATACGGCTAACCTGTGACGCATCACCATATGGCATCGGGGCAGTATTGAGCCACAGGCTATTGAACGGAAGGGAGGCCCCCATAGCCTACTATTCTAAAAGTTTGTCGAAAACCGAAAGAAACTACAGCCAAATAGACAAAAAAGCCCTCGCCACTATAGCCAGAGTGAAATGTTTTCACGAATACTATACAGCAGACACTTCGAATTGGTCACAGACCATAAGCCGCTGCTTGGCATTCTCTTGGGAAACAAACCCACACCCAACATCTTATCACTGAGAATGCTAAGATGGACAGTTTTCTTGGCAGCATATACCTACAGTCTTCTACACAGACCAGGAAAGAACATTCCACATGCCGATGCACTCAGCAGGTGCCCCCTGCCAGGCCTAGTAGAAGACCCAGCCCCTGTGACTTCCATATTCCTTGCAGAACATCTTAAGCCGGGCTTATTGATGGCAGTGGACATCGTGAAACTCACCATGAAGGACAAAATGTTGGTGTGAGTTTTGAACTGGGTATGGCGGAGCTGGCTGAACAAGACGGAAGGGGAGGAATTCAAGCCATTTAAAGGGCAGACAGCTAGAGCTGTCAGCATTAAGGGGATGTTTATTATGGGGAGACAGGGTGGTTGTACCGCAGCCGTTAAGGGAAAGAATTTTGGGATTGCTACCTGAAGGGCACCCCGGGATAGGAAACATGAAGGCCCTAGCAAGGAGTTACATCTGGCGGCTGGGGATAGACAGAGACATTGAGACCTGGGTCATCACATGCTCACCATGTCAGGAGTCCCAACCTGCCTCTCCCTCAGCACCCCCCCTCAAGTGGGAGAGGCCCTCAGCACCATGGGGTCACATACAGATAGACTTTGCAGGACCCTGCCAGGGGCAAACATTTCTAATTGTGGTCGATGCTTACTCTAAGTGGTTGCAGGTAGTAATCATGTGCAGCAGCAGCCAAAAAAGGTAATGCAATCCTAAATTGTATTAACAGAGGGATACAATCAATATCAAGGGAAGTACTAATACCACTCTATAAAGCCTTAGTAAGATCACACCTAGACTACTGCATCCAGTTTTGGTCACCACATTATAAAAAAGATGTTGAGAGTCTAGAAAAAGTACAGAAAAGAGCAACCAGGATGATTAGGAGACTGGAGGCTAAAACATACAGTGAACGGTTGCAGGAACTGGGCTTGGCTAGTCTAGTAAAGAGAAGGACCAAGGGAGACATGATAGCAGTCTTCCAATATTTGGGGGGCTGCCACAGGGAGGAAGGGGTCAAGCTATTTTCTAAAGCGCCTGTAGGCCAGACAAGAAATAATGGATGGAAACTGAACAAGGAGAGATTTAACCTGGAAATAAGGAGAAACTTTCTGACAGTGAGAACAATCAACCAGTGGAACAGCTTTGCCTTCAGAAGTTGTGGGAACGTCATCACTTGAGACTTTCAAGAAGAGATTGGACTGCCATTTGTCAGAAATGGTGTAGGGTCTCCCGCTTGGGCTTCTGGGCTTGGACTAGATGACCTATAAGATCCCTTCCAACTCTGATTATCTGTGTCTAAATCCACAACAGCCGAGGCAACGACCAGAGCATTGCGGAAATTATTTGCCACCCATAGCCTACCCGATGTGCTGGTTTTGGACAATGGCCCACAATTCACAGCAAAATAATTTGAAAGTTTCCTCACACAGCTGGGGATCCGACATGCTCTATCAACGCCGGTACACCCAGCCGCAAATGGGCAAGTGGAGAGAATGTTCTGAACAACCAAAGAATTACTAAAAAAAATTAGGCCCCAGCGATTGGCAAGAAAAAAATCAACAAATTGCCGCTAACCCAACACATAATGCCCAGCATAGCAAAAAACAGAAGCCCAGCAGAAATGCTCATGAACAGAAAATTAAGGTCCACGCTAGACAGGGTTCATCCAAACTACACAAACGACACCCCTCTAGACTCCACGGGAAAGTGCAGGACATTCACACCAGGAGACACAGTGTATGCACGCAACTACATGGGAAGGGAAACCTGGCTTCTGGCAAAAATAATCAAAAGTACCAGACCCAGATCATACAGATCGGAGGTAGAAGGGGGAAAACATGGAACAGGCACATAGACCAACTTCAGGGCCTCACAGCTCAACCCCCCCATGAAGCTGAATAACACAACACACCCTCAACAACAACTAGGCCCTGGAAGTTAGAAATCCCACAAAGGCACATAATAGGAAAGTCAAACCCGAACAGGATAGCAGGGAACTTACCGGCGGGGGGGGGGGGGGGAAGGGGGGAGGAGTCCAGCGTAGTCCTGAAGCCTCCAGCTCAACAGAAACTGCCATGCCTCCAGAAACCTGTGAGGCGCTTCCAAGGGCAGAGTCTAGAGCAGTGGCAGACCTGTCCGCTCAGGCTGCCGCCTTGGGAACAACTGACCTGAGCAGGCCCAGTTGCTCTCACAGAAGTCCTGCCTACCTGAAGGACTATGACTGCTGCGTATGCAGTGATTGGTCGGTCTGAACTAAGAGTGGAGGAGTGTTAAATACGGATGATGCTGTATTTACATGTGTTTACGTGATATGCAAAGTGGAGTCTGATATCAGACTCCACTCATTGGTTCAGCCGTTGGCGGGAAGAATTGAATCCCCATCAGTGGCTGAAGTGTTGGACAGCACCGGCTATAAAAGACGGCGCCTACATATTTGTTGGCTTTTTGATTTCGGCTTTAAAATAAAGAGTTCTTCGCACTCCTGAGTCCTGCTCCTTCCTTATCCGCACCCATTTAACACTGAACATTTTCAATTTAAAACTCCCAATTTCAGTTTAAAATGTTCCAAGTTTATCAGAATTGTGTTATGAGCATTCCATGTCCAGAAATGTCTCTGATAAATGGGAATGGTATGAGTGGAATAGTTTCAGAATACTTCTGGAAAGACTTGAATATTTTATTTCAAACACTGAAGATAACAAATACTGAAGATGTTCCCAGCTGCTTAATGAAATGTCTTCAGGTAAACAACCAAGCTTAAAGACTACTATGTTTCAACCTAGAGCTACAAATATTGTCTTCTAAAGATTAAAGTGACAGTACCTCACTAGTTGCCTAAGAAGAAAACCTTATTGAATAGAGTGAAAGCTACAGTATATCTAAATACAAGCACAATTGAATTGTTTGTGGTAATAGCAGTCTCTTAAGGATAAGTTGCAGAGAGGGCTAAAAGGATATGTGCAGCTCACATTTTACAAATCATGCAGAATTAAAAGAACAGGTGGCACCACATCATTATATCAGAATTTTCCTGTTCTTTTGAAGCAACTGCCAATTTTAAAATAAGTAATACTATATGATATAACTTTTTAGTGATTAGCTAGCAGAATAAACTTTTAAAAGGTATTATTCCAATTTTTAAAGGCTATTTAAAACAAAGATTTTTCAATAAGCTTCCTAGAGATCAATTGCCTTTTAAAAATGCTAATCACTCTTTTATGTAACTCATTTAGCATCATTTCTTTGGCATTTTTTAGCCATATTTGGCAAAGTCAAGGGATACAAAAACCATACAGCTGTGGGCCACATTTAATGACTCCAAATATTTCACCAGGTACTACTCACATATTTTCAGTTCATAATGACTAGAAATATATTTTTAAAATGAACATTATAGCTGAAATTCTCAGGAAATTAACTACTTATGAAACAACAACAACATCCTGTAGAATAACAAAATACAAGAAGATCCAAGAATATGAAAACATGACAAATGAAATGAATCCCTCTCTCCCAGCCCTTCTCCTCTTAAAGGGACTTCTCCAAAAGTCTGCAGGAAGGATATTGTTGGTACAGCTCATGTAGAAACTGCTCCGTGGGCAAAAATAGTGAGTGGGTAAGAACAATATCATCTAGGAGGATATCTAAGAAAAGACAAAAAATGGGAAGAAAAAAGAGATTACAATGCAACCGAGCTTAGGATACAAGGCATTACCAATAATAAGGAACTTGGACAATTCTTTCCTTGTTTGGTTCAATAGGATAGGACACACAAGCAGCCTCAGGAATACTCTGGAAATGGTCAACTCAATTATTTTGAAATTATATCTTTGATGTAAATAAATAATTTTTTTTTAATGGCTGATTTTAGATCATTGACATAATCATTTTCTTTCTGAGTCAACACATTTTATTTTAGAAGATAATATTTCATTAATAAATGAACATCTGTACATACTCAGCGTGAGTGTGTAATACATCCGTGGTGTGGCAGGAAACTTTGGCCTTAGAGAATGGGGAGGAGCATGCTGCTGCAGCTTATGTCAACAGAGATACTGTATAGATCTTGGGTCTGTTGGTGAGTAGCCATTTCAAGGGGAATTACAGAACCCTGCACTTTGGTTTAAGGGCCATCTTTCTATACATATGTCTCTTCTCAACTCTTCTCATCTATTTGCAATGTGGGCAGAAAATGTTACCACATTCATATTATATGTTTGCTGAACATAATAGTCCTCCAGGTAACTGAATTGCAATTTTAAAAATTATCTGTCCAGAATTTAAACTTGGAGAATATGCAACAATGGTAAAATTAGCAACATAACAGAAATGTAATTAAATTTAAGCAAGAATGGCTTCTACATATACTATATATCACATAGCAGGGCAAATGCAAATACTTAACACAGGAGTATGGCTTCTGAAGTTTATAAATAACAAATGAGTTGGATATAAAGAAGGGGAAATCAGAAGAGAAATATTTGTTCTATTTTAGTAGGGTTTTTTCTCTCTCTGTCTACTAATTTTTTCCCCTTTTTAACATTTACAAAATAACAATATGATAGAGATTTCCAAGATTTATATTTTTCTTTTGGACCATAAAAATAACTCAGTGTACTTTGCCTATTACGGTTAATCTTTTATTAATATTATATTATACATTATTTATATAACATTCATTTAGCAATGTATCTTTTGAAATTATATCTTTGATGTAAATAAATAAATATTTTTTTAAAAGAATTCCTCAATTAGCATTAGCAATATTAGCATATTGCTAAGAGTTGCAGATCAAACATCTAAATCAGGGGTGCCCAACCTTTGCAATTTTAAAACTTTCGGACTTCCAGAATTCCCCAATTGGTGGTGGAGCTGAGAGTTGAAGTCCAGAGATCTTAAAGTTGCCAAGGTTGGACCCCTGATCTAGACAGCTCCGGGTTGGGAGTTACTATCTCATGCCATCATACTTAGGGCATATTCTAGTGGTTTGTATTACTGTTTTTTTTAAAGAAGTGTCTCTGAGCATGTAAAGAGAATAGTTGTGCAATGTTCTTGGATAAAAACCTTTAATTTAGCTTCCAGAGAGAGAGGGAGGGAGAGAGACACTGGTGCAGTGATTAAGGCAATACACTCGAAAACCAGGAAATCATGAGTTCTAATTCTGCATTAGAGACAAAGCTGGCTAATCTTGGGTCACTCACCTTCTATCAGGTCTAGGAAGAAGACAATGGCAAACCACTTCTAAAATACCTTGCCCCCAAAATCTAAAGGGACTAGTGCAGGCAGTTGCCCAGAGTCTATATGACTTGAAAGCAGAAAAAGAAGAAGAAACCCCAGCTTCCACTTATTCCCCATGAAAAATAAAAGGGCATTGGTCAAAAATACAGATGAAACCCCAAATTCAACCCTGATTCTCTCAAATTTTCCTTGGCAGTTATTCTCCTTGCTCACAGAGGCTGCTCTTTCAGTTCATTACTATTTAATGAATGAAGAATAATGGCCCACTTTACCTTTATTAGAAAAATAGACAAAAACAGAATTCAAATAAAAGCTTAGCACATTAGGAAGATATATTACACTGCATCTGTTAAATGAGGGGGAAATGTGATTCCAGTGTACCAGAACCAAAACAGCCTTTCTCTATCATCTGTGCAAGACCAAATCCCATTACAGGAATAGAAATCCCATCCATAGGAAAAGCATTAAGGCAGGGGTGGGATTCAACCAGTACTACTACCGATTCGGTGACTACGCTGCGTGCGCGTGTAAAAAACACATCAGCTGTGCCTCCCAGACAGCTGAAAAGCGCACATGGGTGCGCAGCATTTGAAAAGCCTTTTCCCCTGCTTTTTCTACCTCAGCTCTGCCGCGCAAAGCAGCTGAGGTTGAAAAAGCAGGAAATAAAGGACAGGTAAGAGACCGGACAGGCGGGTGGGCAAAACAGCAGCAAACACAGAACTGGTTCGGTGTTTGCTGCTCTTCAGAGCAACTGGTTCTATACAGCTGGGCATAACCGGTAGATTCCACCCCTGCATCAGGATAGAGATGGGGGATTCAAAGAGAAGCTCAAGAGACCTGCAAGATTGGCAAAAATGTTTAGCAATATGTCTGCCAAATGTTGGCATTTATTGTCATATGTGGTGGGTTTGTATGAAAGCAAGAAAATACTGGACGAAAATACATACATGGTTGGAAAAGATGATTAAGTAACATATAGATCTGAAACCAGAAATATTTTTGTTGGGTATAATGCTGGAGGGCTATGCTAAAAGGATTATATACAGTATTTAGTTTTGCATGTAGTGACAGCAGCAAGGATTGTATCTGCACAATATTGGAAATGAGAATACTCCATTAGACGAGGATGCAATTTGAAAAAATACTAAACTCTGAAGAGACAGACAGATTGACATTAAAAATTATGGATAAAGAAGACACAGAATATTATTTAACATGGAATAAATTTTATGAATGGTTAGCGATAAGAGGTAGAAATTAGATAAAGATTAATGAGATGTATGAATTAAATATAAAGATGGTTTATAATTATGAATATGCTAATAATATCAACAGAATTATAAATAAGCTAATACAAAAAGAAAATTAGTTAATACTATTGTTATACTACTACTGTTATTAGTTATGTATTGATGTTTCTGGGTTTTTTTGTAAATGATACGCCCTGACAATACGCTGAATTCAAAATGTTTATTAAAAAAAACATATATTAAAAAAAAGAAGAAGCTCAAGAGAAGCAGATACTCTATCAAGCAAGGAAGATGCCTTTGAACTTGAGCACCGAGTCTTAGGAATCCTCCTGGACCTACCCTCTCCTTTCTTCCTGACATTTCTTGAGGCATTTAATGTAAATAGGATTTTTGAGCCTTCCAGACTTTTAATCTTTGCAAACCAACATATTAGTCACCTTTATCATCTCTCAGCTATGTTTCATCAGCTGTTTACTTTATTTTGCTGATGACTTTATGCAAGATGAAATGAGGTTTTTAAAAATTATTTTTATTCTATTGTGGACCATCCTAGGATGGTCCACAATAGAATAAAATGCTAAGGCAGGGACTCTAAATAAAACTAGCGGTAAAGACAGGTAGTCCTCATCTTAAAAGAGTTCACTTAGTGACCATTCAAAGTTACAATGGCACTGAAAAAAGTTATTTATGACCATTTTTCATACTTATGACCGTTGAAGCATCCCCAGGGTCACATGATTTACATTTGGATTCTTGAGAACTGATTCACATTTATGACTTTGCAGTATAATGGGATCACCTTCTGCAGCTTTCTGACAAGCAAAGTCAATGGGAAGACCAGATTCACTTAATACTTAATGCTAATTTAACAACCACAGCGATTCACTTAACAAATGTGGCAAGAAAAGTAAAAATGAGGCAAAACTCACTTAACAAATTTCTCACTTAGCAGCATCAATTTTGGGCTCAATTGTGGTGGTAAGTTGAGGACTATCTGTACTTCAGCCACAGTCCTTCAATTCATATAGCCTTTGTCTAGAACTACAACCTAAATTGAGGCATTCTGGATTTTTCTAGTCACTGTGTTGAGGAAGGCCATGCCAAACTCAGTTCAAAAACATTTTTCTTGTTGTTTGACAACATGCACACATAGCAGCTAATGAGTTCTGCACCATGGGTGAACACTGACATTATTCCGTATTTTAAGCCTCTAAAAATTTGAAATTCACTTTTTTTAATCACTCTCATCATGGTATTAACATTTCCTGTGCCATTTTCTTCTGAAAAGACTTCACTGCTTTTGTTTTTACCGGGAGCAGGGGCCAAACAGATGCTAAACCAGTATGTGTGTTATTCTGTATTCTCCATTCAATGCATTTTTTAAAACTTGATGCCTAAATGATGAAACAATAGTAGTACAAATGAGACCTGTAGGCTTCTTTGAAGAATTAAACGGTCTTGGAATGGGATGAGATGATATGGCTTAGAAAAGTGCAACGAAGAGAAGATAATGAGTCCTTGTTGACACTAAATTTCAAATTCTGATGCATACACTCCATGACAGTGCTATTTGCTTCAAGGGGAAAGGACCCGCAAGGCCAAGAGATGATTTCTTTCCAAAGCAAATATAGGCAAGTCCTTGACTTATAACCATAATTGATCCCACAATTTAGACATAAGTCATGACCAGACCTGATGTAATGACTTTTATCAAAGGTTGTTAAGCAACTATGATGGTCATAAAGCAAACATCAAGGTTATTAAGTGAACCACTGTTCACTATGGGGCAGTTGCAGTAAATTGCAGTCACTTGGATTGTGGGACACTGCAAACAACCCATAAATTCAGTTTGGTTGCCAAGCACCCAGAAAGCAATCATGTGATCACTGGAAGGGAGCATACATTAGATCTTCGAAACTGGATTATAAGTAGCTGTTTGGAGTCCATTGCAACTTTGAATGATTGCTAGGCAACTGGTCATAAGTTGAGCACCTAGAATGTGGGCATGGAGAATCCAATTGGATGGGAAATAGTTAAATTCACTCTCATGTAATTTGAAAAAGCTTCTATTTCTTTTATCGACACAACCATATCAATACTATTTTTCTGTAATTACAGCCATGTGTATTTTGCAGCACCAATGTAACTTAACGGGA